AGATAGGCGAGTCAGCGATGATGATGGCGATGATAGAGAGGATGGGTGCGCACCTGCAAGTGGGAGGGTCGTCGACGACGGCGACGACGGCGATGATGCTGAAGATGGGGACAAGGAGGGTGGTCAGCAACGATGACGATGACGACAATGACAGAGAGAAGGGGGCGCACCTGAGAAGGAGGAGGGTCGGCGATGTTGTCGTCGATGAGGTTGGCGACGATGTTGGCGACGACAATGCTGACGTGGCAAAGAGTGAAAGGCATCAGCGACGAGCGAAGGGTACGACGATGACGACGACGACAAGCAAAGAGGGACTCACCAACATCGACGACACCAACGTCGACAGCGTCGAGGACAGTGAGCGAGCGAGCTTGAGGGAAGGGAGGAGGGGAGGAGAAAATGTGGGGGATGCAAGTGGTCAAGAGTCAACCAATGCCTGCCCCCCAGTTCTGTTCGGAGGGGACTCTTATATACCTTTCCAGAGTCCGTAAAAAAAGACCAGACACCGGAAATACAAACGGGAAAATAAAACCCTTAGAAACCGCCCCCAGCCGGCTGCCTCGAGGCAGGGCGGTATCGCATTCCGCCGCTAGCAAGATAAAGCGCAGCACAGCAGGACGTCCGAATGCGGCCACTGGTGTGAAAAGTGAACTGAATAAACGCAAAAAGAAGCGCGTGAGGCGGGATTATGTGGGCTTGTGTCAGGGAAAGAAGTCTGGACGGTACGAGGTGGAGCATGGGATGCGGAATGGAAGCTTCGTAATCAAATTCGATGAATAAATTTTGCCGCGGCGGAGGAATGCGGGTACAGGAAAACGCAGAGAAAAAGGCAAGCTCAAGAGGGTGTCCCAATCGGGAAGACAATGCGTTCTCCAGTAATGCGGCTCGCACTAGGCCCACAGCCGCTCCACAGCCTCCACCAAGACCTCTCAGCCCATCGCACGTCGAGTATAGCGCTCCCGCCAGCATAGAATAGAACGACATGGATAATGTTTAGAGGGGACGCACGAATATCCATAGGGAGCGTCCAGTGGCTTGCCCATGGCACAGAGAAGTTGAACATAATAATCGGCGAGCGTCGGAAATGTTCAGCCACCGGATCGATGGATTTGCCGCCGGCATCGCGTGGAAACCATGTGCGCGATGTGTCCAATTGCCAATTGTAACTATGAGCCGCGTCTCTATTACGGCGCGGGGTCCGGTGGTGGCGTAACAGTGTGGCGCCCTCTGGAACGTCTCGTCTTAGGCGAGAGGGAGGAGGGAAGATAAGAGGGTATAAGAGAGACTGGGAGAAGGGGAATGAAAGGCTTATATACTTTTTCGTAAATGGTTTGGGGTTGCCATGCCTGCGTGCCAACCTTTGTGCTGTGGCGGCATTGTAAGTTGGCACGGACAATGCGCATTGATGGCAATGACTCACGCACGATCACCGTTGGCCAATTTGTAAGGCGACGGGGGACATGAAAGGGAAAGAGTTGCTATGAGAACATGAATTTTAGACACAGAGCAAAGCTATGCCAGCGCGCTGGAATGGAGGCGAAGTGTGGACTGGGTTCGTGGAGACCTTGCATGGGTCGCGTCAAAAGGCGAGCGACGGTCTGACTACTGTTCTATCACGCTCAGATATATCTTTCAGAGCTGTGTGGACATCCAGTCCTTGAGCTCGTGGATGGAACAATAATATTGCACTGTATTAGGTGAAAAGGGCAGGAATAGCGATATGTAAAAGACGATGCACGGCTAACGGACGGACTCTAGAAGTCGGACAACATATCCTTCACACCCGTCCAATACTCTGCCTCTACCCGCTTTTCGATCTCCTCTTTCACGAGCCAGGCGAAATCGGAATGTAACTCGGGTTTCGGGTGGACTTGACCGGAGAGGATGTGCGCTTTGTAGAAGAAGACGCAGGTCTGGTAAGGAGGGGTTCGTCAGTGGGGTTGTTCATGATACGAGTGAGATGAGAAGGGAAGAGGAAAGCGTACTTTGTGAAGAGCCTGGGGGTTCGTGGACGGTGTTGAGGAGTAACGCTCGTAAAGGCCGATGGGCACTCGACTGACGAGCCAGCTATCCATGTTGACACCAAGCTGCTCGTCCATATCACGTTGCGCAGCCTATAGCAAACCAAATCCTTTTCAAAAACCCATCATACACCCACATAACCGTCGAAAACAAAAACACACCTCATGCAACAGCTCCCCAGGCCGCATCTCTCCCTCCGGGAACTTCCAAACCTCCTTGCCGTCTTGTTGGCCCTTACTCCTCACAACAAGATACAAATTCCTCTGCCCAAACCTATCCAAACTCTTCACATCCCCCTTCTCATCCGCCTCATGCCACCTCCCCAACACCGTCTCGTCCTCCTCCTGCCCCATCTTCCTCACATCCTCATTCGACACCCCACTTCCCGGCGCATCCTTCCCATCCGCACCGAACCCCCTACCAAACATCCTCCGCTCGCGATACCGCTCTTGTAAATTGAACTTCGACTCGAGCAGCGACCCGGGCTTGAAATAAAAGTCGTACGGGAAGGGATTGTGCAGTGCGCGCTGGATGCGGGCTTGGTAGGCGTAGTACGCGCGTTCGAATGTCGTGGGTGTTTTGGTGAGCAGGGGGGATCGGTTCAGAATTAGGGATGTGTGGAGGGTGGGTTTTGGGGGTTTGCGTGGGCGGGTGCTAGGGGAGGGAGGGGGTGGAGAGGCAGAGCTGGAGAGGGGTGCTTCCGTGGCGAGACCGCGGTAGAACGACGCTGTAGATATAGGATGTTGTTAGACTGGATTCCAAGTAATGTGATGGAGAGATATACGCACCGGTTGTGTGTCGCCTACATGAAGATAAAAGACCGCGAGAGGACATAGTAGCTCACCGGAACGTCGACGCGCTCGCTGTCGACTTGTGTTTCGATTTCGACGCGAAGGCAAAAGTCGAATTTTGGCCCCGTTCGGCGGTTACCGGTGGGTGGCGTTGACAAACGCTGTGGCTCAATCCTCCCTACAGAATCCCTCAACGTCGATATTTCAAACTGCTTGCTCACACGCACACGATCAGACAAGTATCCAAATCACATATCTAACTAACGCAAACGCAAAAGAAAAGAAAAGAAAGAGAGTGCATATATATATACTCAAGTACTAGATCGTCGAATCCAGGACAAAATACCGACACGCCATAGACTTGCAAGGTAAGCCTGACCGACTAACCCAAAGACAACGTCAAATCGAGATCACAAGCAACGTCGAATCGAAATCACAAGCAACGTCAAATCGAAATCACAAGCAAACAAAAAAAAACGAAGAAGGAGAGAGGAACAGGGACATAGGAAGTAGACACGGGACGGGGTCGTGAAAAGGATATGGTATGCATAGAAAACCGGAACTTAGAGCTGGATGGGGGTTGTTGATTGTGTTGACTGGATTGATTGTGTTGTGTTGTGTTGTGTAATATGGAGTGAAATTGGAATTGGATGGACATGAGCAGAGTAAGAGTAATTACGACCCGGATGGGATGGAGCAGTAAGCAGAATCAGATCGAAGACGAAGAGACGAAGACGAAGGAGAGAGAAACCCAGAGATGGGAAGCCATGCACTGCAGCAGGAAGAAACGAGAACGGAGCAAAGGATGAGCACTAAAATAACCGGTTGTAGCAAGTAGGTAGGGATTCAGCTTTGAAGGAACTGGGGCACAGAACCGAGAGAACAAGTAGGAGTAGAACGAGAACGAGAAAAGAGAGGGAGAGGGAGAGAAGGAACGACTTTATGCGACATCGATTGGACTGGACTGAGTATTGAGTACTGAGTAAGGTGAGGTGGGAGTATGTTGGTTGGTTGGATTGGTGTATTAGAGAACATAGACAGAGCTTCCCGGTTCTCCCTAAAAAAGAGCGACGATAACTTCCACTGACTGACGTACGAGTGCGAGTAAGAAGATGGTTAGAAGGAGAACCAGAGGAAAGAGCGCGAGCAGGGAGCAGAGAGTAAAGAGGCGTTAATGCTGGCGTTGCGTTGCCGAAAGGAAATATACAAGATCATGTATAGCGAGCGAAACCGAAAGATGGAAATCCGCGTAAGCAAGCAGAAGAAGAAAAAAATATTTCAGCACCAGATAATCACGAACGTAGACACAAAAGGGATAAGCAAACATGAACCGAGATTGAGGATTCAAACCTAACCGTCCATTCTCTAATGATCCAAATGACTTCGACCTACCCCACCCTTCACATCTCCAACGGCTCGTGCGACCTCGCCTCCAGGCCCCCGTTCCCCCTCGACAAAGTCTCACTAACCGCCACCCTCTCCCTCCTCGTCCCAAACCCGCCCACACCACCCCCCGGACCCCTCGGCTGCCTCACCACCCCTCCACTCGTCGGGCTATCCGCACCACCGTTGCCATTAACGCCCACACCTGTCAACACGCTCGCCGGCAGACTGGGCACCGGAGGCACCCCGCTCCCGTTGTTGTTGGACGGCGAGTTGTTGTTGTTCGCGCCAAAATTGAGGTTCTGCCCGAAGAGAGCGCCGAACCCCCCGGGAGAGCGACGCGAGGGCGAGGCGATGGTGGCGTAGCCTTCGCGAATGTTTCCGTTGGAGGCGCGCGTGGTGAGGCGGGGAGCTTGCGTGTGTAGCGTCTTCATGTCCGGCATGGATTTCTTCATGCGGAGGGATTGGGCCATGGAGGGGGACGGGGTGAGGTACGCTGAGGGAACGCGTTGCAGGGCTGGGTGCTGTTGCTGTCTCTGCAGGCACGAGATCGAATGAATGGGCACGTCAGTCAAGAGTAGAGAGGTATGATTGATGACAGACAGATATTGCATGCATAAAGGGTGAAGATGAGACGAACCTTTTCGGGGTCGATACGAGTCACGACGGCATGCCTGTCCTCGCCCTCGCCCGTCGAGTAATGATACACGCCCAACTTCTGCGCGATCAGATGCACGACCCTCCTCTGCTTGGGACTGAGCGTCCTCGAGAACGCGAGCTCGTCCCGCATCGGGTCATCCTTGAACAACAAGATCCTCGAATAAATCTCCAACGTCGACGGATCGTTCAGATCGAGCTCATTCGACGGGCTCTTCACGCCGCCGGACGGACCAGGCGACACCGCGTTCATCGGCTGTTGCAATTGCGGAGGCGGCGTGTGCGTCTGCATGCCGTACTGGTTGGGCATCGGCATCGGCGGCGGAGGCGAGTACTGCTGCGGACTACCATACGCTGCCGTATTGCCCGCCGAGAACGAACGCTGTGGGACGAACGAGGACGTCCCCGGGGGCATGATCGGCCCAAAGTCGTCGTATGGGGTGCCTACTCCCTGTTGTTGGGCGAGCTGGAGGCCCTGCTGCTGGAACTGCTGCGCGGGCGATTGTTGTTGGAGTTGTTCCTTCTCGAGCTGCATGGAGCGCATCCGGCGGATCGCCTTTTCGCGCTCGATCCGCTCCTTTTCGCCCTGTTGGAGGACTTTTTTGTATTCGACGCGGAGCTTGCGGCCTTGGACGTCGAAGCCGTTCAGAGCGGCGACGACGGCGTCGGCGTCGGAGGCTTGGCGGAAGTTGGCGAAGGCGAGGCCGCGGAAGGAGCCAGACTGGTCGAGGTGGTAGTTGAACGCGTAGGGGGTTGGGATGGAGAGGGAGACCTGGGGAATAAAACCATGTATTAGAGGGAATATATTTTGGAAAGTATTGTGAGGAGCCAAGAGATAGATCTAGATCGTCCAGTTGATATGCTAAAATTGTGTGGCCCTGCCTTGGAGTCATGGGGCCACAGACGCGTCTTTAGAATGCTTTGTGGATGAATAAGGCAGGTCGATGCGTAGGTCGAAGAATGTGCGCCTCGGGTGCATTGTTCACCCGACATGGAGCACCAAAAGGACATTACGCGAGCAGTGCATGCATTGCATGGAGAAAGCATCGCGTACAATACCGTGACTCGCACCATTCGACGAAACGACTGCACGCGAGACTTGGGAATATAATCTGAAACTCACGATGATATCAAGGAGGGTCTCGCGTTTGACATTAAAAGGGATGTTCTTGATGACGATTGCGGTGGGTATAATCTCATCGTCAGCACCCTGGCCTAGTGCACCTGGCATGCCCGGGGTGGTGATGTTCGGGAGTGGGGGCGAGCCGCCTCCCGAGGAAAGATCCGAGTTGTTGGGGGGCGAGAGGGAGCGATTATCGGGGTACATGGTAGAATTGTCAAGCCATTGCTGAGTATACACAAATAAATTGAATATGAGTATGCATCGGGTGAGATGAAACGGCAAAAGAAGACAGACAGATGGGAGGCCGCCGCGGATGGTCTTGTTCTTGAGGGGGGACTGGTTTAGGGTGAGTGGGTTGTACTGCGACTGGACGGGGACGGAGGGGGACGTCTGGAAGTAAAGGGGGTTCCTGCCGTTGTTGGATGCGCCGCCGTTGCCGTCGTAGTCATAAGTGTCGTGCAGACGTTGGTGCGAGGGCTGGGAAGAGAGCGAAAGAGAACCGATATCCGGTGTTGGCGAAGAGCTAGTCATGATGCGAGTCTGCTGCTGTCTGTCCTGTCCTTCTGTCCTGTCCGCGACAAATTAAAGAGATGGTCGTTCGTCGTGGTCGTGAATGTCAAACGGCAAGAAGAGCTGCAGCCTCCATCAACGATCCCGCGCTTTCTGGCATCTTCCGCCCCACGCGCGCCGTGCCCTTCGAATTCTCGACTAATTATTCAATGCTCCCGAATTCTTATTTCTGAATCGTCACCGTCTTCTTTCTCTTCATGCGAGGCAGGTCTGTTTCAATGTAATTAATTTCTGTAGGACCTTTCCATGTCGCTCGTTGACGACCGACATCGCGAGCACGAAGCAAGCGCGGTCCGCCGGCGGCTCCACCAGTTCCCGGCGCCACATCGACACCAAGAAATCATATATCTACCCTCCATTACCCGAGCAACTTCACCGTCATTTCTTGGGAGTCGAGACATCGGTGACGCTGGCCAGATCGAACTCGTCTCTATCCTCGGCTGTCTTCGAGCAAGCTCACGACTAAAGTGTGGCCCAATCCGATTCTCAGTTGGGCAGTGTACCATTCTAGGCGCCACTTCCATCCATACGATTGGCCGAATATCTCAGGATCGTTTTCTCTTCGCGAATCGCCTTTCTTCTTGCGTAAAGCGGTACTCGACATCCAAGGAGAACTTTAGTCGAGATAGGGCAGGACTCAGGTTCACGTCCAGTGTCAACTGCGTCATCACGGCGTGTGGGCCAGTGGGGCTATCCTCGACGTCCGTGATGAGCTCAGGGGTCGTACAAAACATGTACAACCACAGGGTCGGTCTGGATTATGTGGAATATAATCCACATGTATAGGAAGCTTGTAGGGCCAGAACCGGAGGGGGGGGATGAGATAACCAAGACTTTGTGTGCTGTTTCTGGTGTGGCGAAGAGAAACCCCGCTCCTTCGTTTCTCAACCAACCTCAACGTCAACGTTTAGTTGATTAGGGTCGATACTTTACTCAATCGGACTCTGAGCACGTCATAAACATCCAAGTCAACGATGGCCCTCGCGCCACACAGAAAGCAGTGCGGCAAAGTCGCCCCCAATGTGAACTTGTCGTCATTGTCTTGAAAACGTTCGCAAACGAATTGATGTTACTGTACAGATCCCATTCATCCAATCAACCTCAGGGATCTCGATGCGCACGAGGGTGAAGTACTGAGTGGGGTGCCCTCGAAGAGCTCGGGTTGGGTAGAATTTGAGCATGACGGACGGGACGAGGGTGACCGGAGGTGGTGGTACAGTATACATAGAAATACTGGGAGGGTATGCAAGAGCATTTGACCACCCTAGGCTCACACGACTGCGCAAGCCGTAAAGCTTTTGTTGTAGATGGAAAGGAAATAGAAATACAGGAAGGGGAATAGGTTACGGTAAAGACCTGGGTAGGACAAAGGCTTTTAGGGAGGGAAGGTGGGTAGTGTAAAATGATGAGTGATGAGCGAAGCCGACGAGACGAGGGCGAGTAAGAGGACGAGGATGAGAACCGAGAGTGGAGGAGACGACGACACTGTCACTTTATATATATGCGAGGCCACTAGTTCTAGTTGAACAAGTGAGGTAGCGAGCGGCGGTCGAGAAAGATTCAAGCGTAGTCCGTCTCTTGGCTGATACTAGGCTCCCACAGCGAACCAGAAGACTGGTGTCGAGGCGGTGTGCTCCGTCCCGCAGGACTCATCGCAGCAAAAGACACCCGGGGATGAGGTATTATAGAGGAAGGCAAAGCACTGGCGTTGATGAGTATGGTCGGATTGTACATGCGAAAGCTGCCATATTCCTGAGAGAAATCGGGTGAAAAGGGACTATTGGCGGTGATTGCAACGAGGAACATCCTGTATGACCAAGTCCTGGCACCAAGCGGGCATTCGTCCAGATCGCCCATAGCTGACCCATGCGTCACGACTAGCAGCAACGGTAGTTCGAGCTCTCACCAAGTATTTTCACCTACGTCAGACGCAGATCGAACTTGTATGGGAGGAATGAATGAGGCAGTGGGGAAGAGACGCCTCAAGTTGTCGTCTGTGTCTTCGTCGCCCTCGATCGGTCTGATGGGCGGGACGTAGACGCCGAGGCCGATGACTGGGGACGGCGGAAGAGAATCGGTTTGTTGGTGTTGGACTTCAGCTCTGCCGACATCATCCCTCTCTGCAGTCTGCGTCCCCGAAGGCTCAGTCATATGCCGTAGATGAAGTGAATTTGCCTCCCGAAACCGCGTTAAACCACTCAGGTCGATATGCGTAGTCCTCTGCGGCCAATTTCTTAAACGCTTAAGTGCGTCTGTCCATCCATCTAAAAATAACCCCCCCAAACCGTTCGCCATTGACGTTAACTTTGAACCACCAAGTCCTCTGTACGAGCCATCAGCATTAACGAGCATAATACGGGCCCAATAATGAGCGGAGTCTTCTTGGACTTTTGTGTTGTTGATATCGTCACCGCGGGAGACAACTTCGGCGAGACCCAGAAGAATAGTAGCCAGCAGGTGTCTTCCGTGGCCATGGCGTAGTAGATTCCAGTCGGATTTCTTCGAAAGAAGGTCGAGAATGTACAAGGCGAGATAGGCATGGTCGGCAATGGGGTGTCTGAAGCCGGCGTGAAAAACGCGTTCGATAAATTCGGGCAGAGAGCCGAAATCGGGAATGGGGGTTGAGTCTGGCCTGCCAGTGAAGAAGATATTGATGCGTGTTGCGAGTAAGGTCGAAGCGTCCAAGACATCATCCGAGTCCGGCATCGCAATTCTTTCTAGTGAAAGACAAGTTTCTGTCAGTGTTTCGCTCGTTGCGAGAACTCGCTTCACGCACCAAAATGAGGAGCAATATTCTGAGGGAAGGTTAATACCTGGAGTATGCAGGAATGCGTTTATAGCAGGAGTTTCGACGAACGAGGCGGGACGGGATTTGGCAATCGTGACGATAGGACGAAAGAGAGTCCCCCCGGACAGCACCTGTACTCAGCTTTATATAGTAGTAAATGAGCCTTATCTGGGGAGCGGGCACTTTTGTTATTGATAGCTTGGACCTGACACACTGGTGAACAACAGACGGAACAGGAAGTGAACAAAACAGAGTCACTATAATGACACTCGCTGCCACTGCCATGGCGCCGATTTGATGGCATCAGTGCGATAGGTTCATCGCAGGAGTTCTCAGAGCGGATTGCAGTGGTGAGGTGAACTTCTAGACAGAGTAGGCATGAGAGCATATATGAGCGGCACAGTCTGGTCTAAATCTAAAGTACCATGTTCTTGGAGGAAAATAGGGAAACAAGAAAGATGTACTGTTCTGTCCAAAAGTAATGCAGCACCCTTGTAGTGGGAAAAATAAAGTGGTGTATTCCAGTGCTTTGAGATAATTACCACTGCTCAACTTTTGATCATACAGGAGAGCCACTATGCATGTATACAATAGAAAGGTACACTAGGAGTGTTTGTAAGATTCTTCCGTCATAGGCACAAAATATGACTGTTTTCATGCACCATCTACATGAATTTATTATGACACATTGAGGGGACCTTTCTGACCTGAATAAAATATGTATCTTCCCATTAGATAAAGAGCTTCACATTCATGAATTTTCCCAGATTTTACAACCATTTGTTGTTTGGCAGGAGCAGGATGGATGATCTGCAGCACGATGGCACACATGACAACCACACAAAATGCAAGGGATTTGATGGATAGATTTGATGTATCATACATCTACTTACAGAACACACTCAGTAGTGTAAGAATCTGCAGTCAACATATCTGTCCTCAAACCTCTTTCAAACTTACTGGTGATGCATACTGGGCCACATTCCCCCATATCTCAAAAAAGGACGTGCCTCTCGCCAAAGAATTTAACATAAATCCTGAAAAAATCATGTATTGAAAGCCCATCATCCTATGTAAATTTGTACATCCTGTTTTGGTCAAAAGTAATGCCTCAGCATGATAAAAGAAATTCATGAAGACACCACATGAAAATATTGATCTTTCATAGCCATAAAAGCACAATCTTGAGAATGACCCTCACAGCCCTGTCTGGCATATACATACCTGGTGGCTCTCCAATATAGGCTAACTTTGAGCAACGGCATCAATCTTGAAGCACTAAAAAAGACTAATGTATTGTTACCACAAACTGGGGTGCTGCATTACTTTTGGACAGCACAGTAGTAACGCCGCACAGCAACTTGCGGCCAGCCCCGGACGCGAACTCCCGGAAAAGGCCGTCGCGGTTAGTCTCTAACCAGACCTTATATATGTAAGAAATCGTCGCGGTCACGTGTCCGACACGACTCGACACGACGCGTAACTTCGTGTTTTGTTTGCAACTTGCAAACAAAAGACGAAGTACCCCTTGCGAACTGTATTATCACACTGGAAAAGAGACCTGGGCTTTTGGATATGACGCTTTCGATGAGTTGTCCTACTATGCTAGGAAGTCGAAGTTCGTGGACGGTGTCATGACCCAGATCCACCATTTACCTTGGACGGCGACCGACTTCGACCGGTTCCTTTTCTTACGCCCACCTACGTCCACGTTCCCAGAGACGGCAGAACAGCGCGCAGAGAACAAGATAGGATGGGTGCTTCTAGACGAGAGACATCGTTCTAAGATATTCGTACGATGATCTCTTCGTGTACTGGCCCATTGAATGCAATCTCATTTCGCTCTTACTCTTGTTGGTAGGTCAAAGGCGTTTTAATTCGAGCAGAAGACGATAAAACAACGGGTCTACACTACGGTGTGAACTTTACAAAGGAAATTCCGCTCGATCGAGATCGTTCTGGCCTTGACGATCGCTCAGAGGCGTCCAAGGCAATCTACCAGATTTGGAAGCCCTTGCTGCTGTCCTCCAACGACGCTCGGAGGAAGTACATCGACCTTCTGCTCCATCACGACCAGACGCTGGACGTGATCGAGCTCCCAGCAAGTATCACTCGAGAAGTCGCTTCCGCTCTGGTAGTTGCTCTGCGTGAAGAGCATGGTGAAGACGCGTTATTCTATTGGGCCAATGAGACGACCGAGTCCGTTCGGATTATCCAAAGTTCTTTGAAAAGGACGCCCTTCCTTCTTACTAAGCTGTTTTGGATGGCTCTTCGGCAACATAACACCATCATGTCTCCTGAAGAAGCCCGCGAGAAGGCCTTCACCAAGCTTCTTCCATATCACCCGGACGAGTTTAGGTCCCAGATCGAATGACAAACCATGCACACTGTTCGCGCATTCTTCAAACTTGACCCTCATACAGGCCGGAGCTTGAAGAACTGGTCTTTCAAATCGTGTCATTTCGACCTCTCTAGCGTCGAAATCTCGGTCGGAGACGAGACATTTCTGTCAGACCAACTGCTTAAGCCTGCGTACGTGTTCCATCATCGAGCCCTAGTTCAACAATAACGGACGTACTTTAGGTATATACACAGGAAGGAACGGTGGAGGGCATGCCCCCGTCGTTTGGCCAACAACGCTTCCAGCGTTCATTGCGATTGCTCGGCCTTGCACATCGGAAACCTCTTCACCGACGAGCTGAAGATACCGTACGACGAGAAAGAAGACATCAAGTTTCAACGAGGCCAACTGGTGGCCCAAATGCCGCGGAGGTTGACCCACAGCTTCGCATACGATGATCAGGTTTTAACGGCCACGATCTCCTGGTCAGCAGCAACAAACTATGCTACCAATTTCATCGTTTGGCTCCGTACGGATGACGACCCGCTCCTCAAACCTGCTCTGGTCCATCGAAAAGCACCACCCGTGGTGCCTGCCACTGGGACTACTACTCAACCGCATGAAGTGGACGAACACGCAAACCACGCCGACAACGCTATCAATCGAGATCCTGGTCAAAGCAGAACGTCTCCAGATATCACTATCGTCAGCAGCCGAGGCCGAAAGTTCCCCGAGCATGTGGATGACGCTGGACCTTCATCGACTCAAATAGGTGCTGGCGACATGACTGGGCCAAAGAAATGTGGTGAACCTGACGCAGACCCCAATGCTTGGGCAAAACACGCGGCGGACGCCATGGAGCCCGATGACCCTGCAGTCTCTACCCAAGAAGAGAGCGAACCGTCTAGCGGAGATGAAGGTACAGCCTATATTCTTCACGTCCTCACGCTCGTCCACAATGCGTAGCCACTCACATTTCGCTTATGGCAGTACCCAGGCATCCCGAATTCAGTACAGCCCCCACGGATTCCATCACGCTACGCAATATCCTTCCCGGTAAACGCTATGTTGCTCAGGTTAGAAGGGACTGTGAATTGGCGATCTGGAGTCCTCCACTTCGTTTCATAGCTCCTCCTTCTAATCCGTCGATAATCACCGTAAAGTGGCTGTCCAAGACGAAGCTACAGGTCGAATGGTCGGGCTCTATCGCAGCAGTAACCTACAGGGTAACTCTGCATGCATCCGATGGCGCCGAACTTGCGGAGAAAGACGGTCTTGAGGACAGCTCTTGGGTTGGTGTCGCAGATCCGGATGCGGACTCCGTCAGAGTCTATGCATTCGGGGCAGACGAAACGAGTTGCTTGGAACCAGGGAAGGCATCCGTACCACCCAACCCCTATCTCGGGCGTTCTCCTTCGCCAGTACGTCCTTCGCCACCTGGAGATGCTTCTCCAAGATCGGATGTGCGAGGGTTTTCACCAGCACCTTCTGCTGGCGGTGACTCGGACGATCCAGAGGCCGTGACGTCCCAATCGGCCGAATCAGGCCACAGGGATCACACTCATCGCCCGGTGCCAAAACGACCTTCGCTGGACAAACCTAATGTCGCGTCAGGCTCGAAGTCGAGGGCCGATAATGCGGAGTTCGATGATTTTGAAGACGACACGACGGACGAAGAAGAAGAAGAAGAAGAAAACGGTGAGGAGTTTACCGATGACGACAACCACACCGCGTCGATATGGCAGTTCAACAAAGACGATCAGGTGGGTCATTTTGTCCTGTGTCTGGGATGTCTTGGGTACTCAGCTTGTTGGTTTCCAGGACTTCGACAGCGACAAGGACGCGGATGACGATGAAGAACGACTTCAGACCTGGATGATCAATGGCAAAGAACTCGCCGTTGATCGCTGTTTCGAGGTTACCTACAAGAGAGGTAAAGCTAGTAGCCCAGTCGTCATCCAAGTCCATGCCATTGTCAAGAGAAAATCCGGCAAAACTGCGAAGCTTCAGGTATATCGGTACATACGGGCATCCGAATGCTTTATGGCTTCTCAGAAACATGAGCTCGTCCTCTTACATCAGGGGGCGGAGCACGATGACGGCAGTCGTGGGTGCGATCTGGTAGAAAAGATTTCCACTGTGTCGATCGTCGACATCATTCAAGAGGTAGAGGTGGACCACGCCGAATCACCAGCAGATATTCCCCGACAGTATCATTGCGGCAGCCTTCCTGTCTACGTCTGTCGTTGGACCATGTCCCACGTCAACATGAGATCGGCGACCATATTCCGCATTCCACCTGGCCCTGACTGGGAGGACTTGCTCGAGGAAGCTGCTCACCCTGAGGTGGCCGGACACGTTGCGCCTGATCCGCAATTTTACAGTCGCCCGACAACATTGGAGTTTTATGCTGGCACAGGCGGGACGGCACGCGGATTCCAAGCTGCTGGCTTTAGAGCTATTGCTGGAGTAGAGAGTGATCTCTATGCGGCGATGGGATATGAGGTATGAGAGTCTGTCGAAGCTCCCGATGCATGGTTATTGACTGGTAGAGGATATCAAGACTAATTTCCCTGGAGTCCCGATCCACAACGAGGAAGTAGATGCCTTCATGGACGATGTAAAGGACAAGAAATTCGATGCCTGCATGGACGATGTCAAGGACGATAAATTCGAACATCCAAAACAGATCACTGTGCTGCTAACAAGCCCGCCATGCGAGCCATTCAGTAACGCAAGTAATGGTAAAGGAGGTAACGACGACAAGAACAGAGATCAATTGCAAACGACGACTCGTGCACTCGAGATCTTCAGGCCCGCCTATCTTGTGAGTGCATGCCTTTTATGCTGTGACGGTCACTGATCCATAGAAATCGATTTTTTGTGTCAGTTTTTTGAGAATGTTCCTGTACGTTGCCCTGTAGTGAAGTCGTTCATCTCACTCTAAGTTCATCGTTTCAGACCCTTGCCGCCGATAAACACATGGAGCACTATCGCCCTCTCCTTCTCCAGATTCTGCGACTAGGATACTCTCTCAAATACACCACGTTGAATGCGGCTGAATACGGTGTGGCCTCCCAGCGCAAGAGGCTCAGCCTCGTCGCCGCAGCACCAGGTTTTATTCTTCCTTCATGGCCAGAGCCAACCCATAGGGATCCCAACTGGGAATACTCAGAAGACTTCACCCCACCCGCACAGGTATTTGTCACCGTCCGAGATGCTATCCAGGACTTGGAGTGGCGTAATCCGCGGGTGCATCATTGCAGTGCCGATAAGCACAGCGTATATTGCAACATACCGAAAGACGGTAATCACCCCCAACCTAGCGAGTACGCCCTCTCGCTCGGGCGCCAGAATCGTGGCTTAATCACCCATCACATAACTGGAAGACCTGCAAAAGAGGAGTGGAAAGAGGAGAGAACTTTGGGTTCCTATGATCAACCTCTGAGCAGCGAGTGTCTCTCCTACACGCCACGTTATCCTTTACTGATATATAATACAATCAGCCATCTTGACGAGCGTTAGCGGACGCTGGAAATGCCGTCATCCTCGTAAGTTTGGGAGTTGTATAAATTGGCCTACATACCATGTCGCTGATACTGAATCCCCATCGAAGGCTTCAATAAGGAGATCATGTCTCCCAGAGAACTAGCACGAATTATGTCCTTCCCTGTATGACGCCAGTCTTCTAATGGTCCGTCAAACCGTGCTATATAACGTTCAGTTCTCTAGGATCACCATAGATTCGTTGGACCCCTCAGTAGACAATACAAGCAAATCGGCAACGCTGTCCGGCCATTGCTCGCAAAAGCAGTTGCGATGGAAATTCGTAGAGTCCTGGAAGACCAGTTTCTGCACCTGTTATTTGAGGAGCTTGCATCTATGTCCAGAGAACAGTCGGTCACAACTGCAAGCACGGTTGCTAGCGAAAATTCCGATATTCGAACAAAAAGCGGAGCGGTGCGCAGAACGGCGAATGAGGTTGATGGCCTTGACGACGACGAAAGAGATCCCAAAAGATTCAGGGCCGATGTTGGAACAGGCGTGTCTTCGGCAGCAGGGCCGGAGTGCACGCACCAGTAGCTAGAAGTATGTTGTCGTCTCGTTGAACTTTGTGGGGAGTGGCTTTTGGTTTTTGTTTGGGATATTCTAGACGTATTTTCGATAAGCACCGATAGCCATCTAAAGTCCATATTGCAGCACAGAGTCATAGAACGAAGCGTAATATACAAAACACATAGTACCGGCGTTTAAGGGGCGTAAAGAGACATAAAAAAAGCGAAACAAGATCATCGCGAAGCAATAGTGCCGGGGTAGTAGGGTATCCATCCAACACGAACATATATCCACATATGTAGATAGTTCCAGAATCTAGTGAAAGTCCAGTCGATTCAAAATTCGCGTAGGTCGTCATCGCCGTTGCAGCTTCGCGCCCAACTTTCAAACGCAAAGGTATTAGTCTCGATTAGATTGAGGAGCACATGCAGAAGAACAAAACGAATGAGGACGTACGGTCTGCCGCTGCTGTGGCAGCCATGCCGAAGGCCCTCCCCTCTGAGCACCGCCGAGCTGTCCCCGCACGCTGGCCATCTGGAGGGTGTGTATCGTGCTGAGCATGAGCTGTTGCTCTTTCGCGGCTTGGATCCGCATAGCAGCGATGTCGCGCTGAAATTTGATTTAGGTCTCAGTATAGTCGTGAAGCAGCGAGAAAACATGGTCAACCGACCTTGAGGCGCTCGATCTCCTCGTGCTGGATCTTGCTTCCCTCTCCATCGTCGAAAATGCCCTAAAGTTCACGTCATAAAGTCATCAGCTACTGTGATCCCGTATCCATGAATGGGAATAAGATGCATACACTGGCGGAGCCGGGCCTCTTCGCATGTTCCTCCTTGAACAGCCTGTCTTGGTCCTTGATGAACTATGCACGCCACAATATATCAGTTCCGACGGATGGAGCATGGGAAGGGGTCAGCGAGACGTACAGCTTTCGCCTTGTTGAACTTCTCGGTCATAGCCTTCAGCTGCTCCCTCGCGTTCATGTTGTCTTCGTGCAGTTTCATAATCTGCGCCTTGATATCCTCTGGGACATCCCTGCCCGCCAACGCAGAACGCAATTGCCTGTATAACGAGTCCAACCCAGAACCTGTCAGAGACGGCAAAACGGTCGAGTGAGCGGTATGCAAAGGAGGGCACATACCCAAAGTCTCTCTCCCGTTGCAACGCCTTCTCTCTCTGGCCGATACTGTCGCTCTGGAGATTGACCTTCTCCAACAGCAGGCCGTTGATCTGCTCGAGCTGCATCTTGTTCTTCTCGCCAAGTTCAGCCAGTTGCTTCCGCATACGCTCGAGCTCGGATTCGAGGCCTGTCTTGTCTTCGTTGACTGATTCGCGAAGGGACGAGAGAATCTCGAGCTGATCTTTGTTGACGAGATTGACTGGATACGAGAGTGGAGGAGAGATTCGATCAGTGACATGGGGGAAATGGACAGAAAGGTCCAACGTACGGTCAGACTTGGCAATGGTTAATTCTTTAGCTTGGCTGTCGAACTTGACTTCGAGCTCCGTATGATCCTTGCGCAGAGTATCCAGCTGATCCACTGTCTCGTTGAGACGTTGTCTCAGCGCGATCGCAGCCTCAGCCCTGTGTGCCACGAAAAGGTTAGCCAATGTTCTTGGGTGGAAGGATACCCGGAAATAAGAGCGAGATGCGCACCCATCACCCATCGACTTTCCACTCCTAATCTCCTCCAGATTATTCTGCAGAACAAGCTTCTCCCTATGTGCGGCCAGGTAATCCGACTCATACCTCGCCTTCATCCTATTCGCATCCTCCAGAAGATTCTCAAGGACCAACACCCTACTCGAATCCGCATGATTACTCTTCACAGCCTCCAACTCCCTCTTCAACTTCCTAATCTGCAACTTCAAGTCCGTCATCGTCGTCCCCGTGATCGCGTCGTCCAACTCCCCACCCAGACCCTGATCAGCATCAAACTCGTCCTCATACGCATCCTCCGTGATCGTCTTCACCCCCGTACCGCCTTCACCCGCCCCACCACCCTCGCCACCCTCGACCTTCTCTCCCGGAACCGCCGCGTTATCCTCCGAATGTTTCCTCGCAGGCTTGACCGGCCTATTCGAGCTCAGCTCCAACTCCCTCACCCGCTCCTGGTACAGATCCAGCGTCTCCGAGTCCTTGGCCCTCTCTTCCTCCGTGATACGCAGTTTTGTTTTCGTCTGTTCGAGGTCGAACCGCATGGACTCGTATTCTTTGCTACGGGAGGCCGCTTTGTTCTCGAGGTCGGCGATTTGGGATTTGTAGGATTCCATGAGGGGCTTGTAGGCTGCTACTTTACGGTATTCTTCTTCGAGGGAGGCGTTCTTATCTACGAGGTCGGCATTTTGTTTCTCGAGGGACTGTATATATGACCAATGTGAGTTAGTCGCTTAGACATGTATAGGTGAAACCGACAACAGGGAGAAGGAGCAAAGCGAAAGCTGACCTTGACGTGTTGCCGGAGGTCTGCTCCTTCTTGCAATTTCTTCTTGTACTTCTCCATCACATTTTCGGTCTTCGCTAGACGGTCGGCAGCATGACGATATCTGAAATATAGTCAGAACTATGGTGTGTATATGGGAAATACGTGCAGATATCACGCACTCGTCCATCTGGTCCTTCAGCCGGGCAGCCTCGTCCGCTTTGACCTGGAGCTCATCCACTTTCCTCGTCATGTCGTTGACGAGAGTAGTCTGCTTATCGAGCTCCGCCTCCGCGATTGCAAGGTTCTCCTCGCTCTTATGCCTAAAAGTACGCCAAAGAGTCAATAACCATGACGGGAATCACGGGGCACAACCAGCAGAGTCACATAACGGAGAAATTTGAACATACAGATCCGCCCTCAGTCTATCAATCTCAGCCCGCATCATCACGTCTGCCTTTCCATCGTTCCTCCTCCCCTCTGCCTCCATCTCCCTCTCGAATTGTCGCACACGGGCAATAGCCTCGTCCTTTTCTTGTACAGCATCGTCCAAGTTGGATTGGAGGGTTCGATGCTCTTCCATGAGCTGTTGATATACTTTCTCCACGGTGTCTTTCTCCATTAACGCACGGCTACGGTCTGACTGGATTTGGTAGTAATGGTCATCCCTATATGGTGCATTACAGCCATGGCGATGAGGGTTGAATGTACATGTTTCGAGAAGAGATGTAGACGTACTCCGTGATCTCCTTCTCCCTGTCCCCTTGCTCCGCCTTCACCTTCGCCATGACCTGTACACACGACCAACTATTCTTAACATCTACCGGATCACAGTTGCTCCCCATACACCACTAGCAAAATAAATACCATACCTGCTCGATAGCCTTCATCAGATAGTGCTGATCCGTCTCGCTCAATCCTTGAATCTTCTCAATAAACTCCTTGTTCTTCTCGCACTGCACTGCGATGGCGATCGTCAGCCTGCACATAGTCAATGTCGAGGCCACATCGTGGTCCTTCGCGATAGCTTGTAAGTCCGGCACGTCAAGTGAGGATGTAGGTTTGTTGAGAACGTCGGAGAAATATTGTGTCATGAGACGGTAGAGACGTTTCATCGAATTGAAACGGAGAACCCAGTTGTCTGAGGGTTGCGCAGAGGGCCGTGTAGGCTGGCGGAAATAGTCTGCATCGCTGTCCAAATTGAACACACATCATGTCAACCAACAAGAATGATAAATAGAGAGATAAACGGTACATAGTACTGAGGATCTCGAACAGAGCAGCCCCGTCGCTCAGATCCGAGATGGTGGTAACGGGCCTAGCAAGTTGAAATGTGGCGAAGAAAGAGGAGAAAGCATCCTGCTCTTTGCGCAAAGCGTCTGCGCTCATCCTTACCGTCTACTACCCGTACAAGAACGAAGAGTTAAGAGGACGCCAGCCCCAACTGAGATGACAGATGAAGTACGTAGCAGAGCGTAGCAGTCTATGAACGCGTTGCAATTGAGCAGTCAACCAAGTCGAGCCGCGGCAACGCTAACAGAGGCTCGTCCGAAAAAGGCAAAGATTCCTGGCTGTCTTCCTACACCGCCCACCTAGCCGGAGGTCGGACGGCACTCGGCGGTCCGAGCTCAAGTGGCCGTCGTGAGCGAGCTCAAAATGAGGTCGATATTTCGGCTACAGTAAAACATGGAAACGCACAATATCGTACGCGAATGACTCCAATACAGGGGCCTCAGTTGATCTTGACCGAGACCCACTATTGATCTCGCTGGAGGGTCGAAGTGAGGTCCCCCGAGGTCGTTATGCATTTATGGGTCTCACCGGAGATCAAACCTTGGATGTCATAACGACCTCTGAAGTAAAGGGCGGTGTACTAGGGAAGCTCCACATGCTGTGACACTGACCTTGCTTGAGAGACCTCTTCTGACAATGGCATATCTACCAGTGCTCAATATTTTCGTGCACTTTATTTGCAGTAGCAACTTTGTTAGCGATACTGCAGAGTATCCTTTTTTTTTAAAAATCAAATGCATTTATATAGCGCCGGCGCAGGCCAGGGGCGCTGTTTGGGTGTAACTAGTCAACTAGGCGTAGGTAAAGTTGGTAAACACTGTGGAACTCGACTGGAAGAGTGGGTAATGTGAGTGCAGAAGCAAATAAGTTCGATATACTGAAAACGTATGCGATCAAATGTGGCCCAATCAGTCCGGGGGGCGGGGGATGTTCGGTGTACTGCAGAGTATTCAGTACCGGAAATTACTTCTGGGTGGTCACGCAAGAGTCGCCACAGATGGTTCTTCTTGGCTCGCAAACTCGTATTAGAGGCAGCCTTTAAATCTGCACAATACATCCACGTTCCGATGGCCACTGATGTCAGGTTTCTTGCTTCGCTGACCGCAGCAGCGCCTCGAAGCGTACGTAGGCCTCAGGAGAAGCATCGGCTTGATGCATTGTGGCGTCGATAATTTAATAGCTCTTCAGGCCTGAGCGCGTTGTGCGTGCAGACATCGAGCATACTTTCGGGGAACATGCTGGCAATGTACGAAAACTGTATATCCAGGGCAAATAGAAATTGCTCCGTCCTGATGGTGGTAATCAAGTACGCGTTTGCGTTGGGTGAGGGGTGCCACAGAAATGTGAGAAAAGCTTACGCAAACTGTTTGGCTTTGTGTGCGAAAAAGTCGCTCAGCCACAATTACCGGGGTGGGAGAGACCAACCAAGATGACCAGCCCGCCGAGTTCTCCCTACTCCGGTACGCCGCCCAATGTCAGCTTGGACAATACCTCAGAGCACCAGTCGCAGACGCAACAGCTACATCCGTCATCGAAGAATGTAACAAGACGAGACGGTAGTGGTAGTGGAGGTAGCGCTAGTCGAGGACTAGCTATAGTAACTTTACAAAGAGTCACGGAACATCGACTTGCAATACAGCATCTGCGGGATTTGAACGCTATACATCGTCGAGGTAGAGGTTCAGGAAAGAGTAGATCTCACGAAGTAGCAGTGAAATTCGAAAATATGAGGGACAAACGACAGCTTGTTGTGAACCCAGCTACCAAAGGGATACCTAGTCAACTCCAATACGAGTCTTTTTCGAAGGTCTCTCATCTTCGGATGTACCATCAACCTCCCCAAGTGGACGAGACAGAAACCGTCCAATTCGACCCTCGCGAGCTGCATCATGGGGGACACCTTGTACACTGACTCCAGCGAGTGCAGCTTGCTCTAGGGTCTTGAGATCCGCTATGTTGCGGTGAGATTCTCGGATGGGGGCGAAGCGCATGTGAGGGTATGATTCTTCGAGACATTTACGAATCTGCAATGCGATGACCTTGGCGAGTAGCGGTGGAACAGCGTTGCCTATTTGTTTGTACTGCTTGCTCGGAGGTCCAGCGAATCGATGATTGTCCTGAGCAAGAGTTATATATAAGCTGAGAAAGGATGTTAGGATGCCGTGACATGGCTGCACTGACAGGAAAAGACGAGATCCGTGCGAGTTCCCTCGGGGACATGATCTCATTCTCATACACTTGGTGAGGCAGAAAATCAGTAACACGAAGACGACAGGCAATATACGTGCACTCAGGTGTGTTCCACAATGAGTACCACGGACAATTACTTACAAGGATGGCAGCAGGGCCAGTTCCCGTTAGGAACCGTCAGAATAGCTGTAGTAACGATAAATCTATCAGGACAATTGATCTTTCAACGAATGCCACATCACTTACTGCCGAGTGGCTCATCGTAGCTCCCTATGGCCCGTTTTCTGTCCCAGGTCGGATTCGCTGGCTTTCCTGTTCGATGATGAGTGACTGAACCAGATGTTTGGGCGCCAAGCGAAAGCGCGTAATCGGTTGGCTGAGGTTGTCCTCCGTCCTTCGGGACATCGCAGTGTATGCCAAGCTGATCAGTCCGTTGGATTTTGACACGAGGGTTACGCCATTGCAGGTCCCCAATAGCGTCCCTGACAGTTACGAACGGCAACAGCCCTTTCACCTCTTCGTTCTCCCTCTCACGGCGCGGAGAATAGTGCGTCGGTATGGGAGATGCTGGTAAGGGGAGACCCCGGCGCACAACATACAGAGCGAATCTAGGGCGCTCGGAGCCTACTCCGAACTTGGCAGCGTTGAGCGTCATATACTTCACGGAGTCACCCTGTTCAAGGAAACCGCGAAGCATGGCACCAAACTGAGGCCGGTATCTTGTTGCGAGAATGGTCTAGCGATAGAGTTCCAATATCATTCAGCCACGAAGGGGAATGCGCATTCAGAATGCACTCACAGCGACATTCTCGATGCACTACATATCCAAGGACATCAATGACAGAGCTGATGGGCGATGATCGTTATCGTAGAAACACATACCGCATAGGGAGGACGGAAGTGTTTGATAGCGCGCAGGACGGTCTGAAGCTGCGCTTCATTTTCTGCGTCATCTTTTCCAGGTTTGCGTTTTGCGTTGCTGAACGGTTGACAGGGCGGACTGGCCAGTAGCACTGCGACGCTGCGCTTCCATTGAATTTTTTCAGTCTCGATGTCGTCTATGAACGTTTCCACATTCTCATGATACACTTTAATATGCGGAAAGTTGGCCTTGACAAAGACAACGTTGCACCTATGTCAGTAGGGAGAGGAGTGACGTGTGTAAGGAAGGAATGGCGTACCTCGTAGCTAAGAGCTGCGAATACATCTCTCTCTACCCCAGCTAAACCACAGAACCCAGCGTCTTCGAAACCTCGAGCTGTGCCACCGCAGCCGGCATAGAGCTCTAATGTTGTCGGGTCATCGAGGAAGGGTGGCGTCTCTTGTCCGGCGGCTTCTGGATAGGCTGCTGTTTCGAGCAACTCATACCAATCGTCTCCGGGAGGGATCCGGAATATGGATGTACTATTACATTCGCGTTCGGAGACCATAACAAAATAACACAAGAAAATAGAAAGCCCTCCAAGGGACTTTGGCGGGGGAGAATTCTTGATGAACTCCTTGTGATGCACTGCGACTTCTTGGATCACCTTGACGATGGACAATGAGGAGATGCGCTCCCATAATCGTCGCTGGGGAGATTCCTCTTGAGCAATCCAGATAAGTTCATTCTCGTGAACTTCAGGAATCTTAAAGTAGTCTCCTGCCTTGATATATCGGGTGACCACAATGCTGGCAGACTTCGACTTCTTCGACTTTGGGACAGTGATCTGAAGAATGTGGATGACAACTGAGCTTTGGGCTTGGCCACGCCGAAAGAGAATCTCATATTCGTGGTCGACTTTCAGCTCTTGCCCATCTAGGACGTAGCTTTCCACTTGACGGTGACTGGTAGTGTCCTTGTCATTGTCCTTGCTGTCTTCCTCGTCGCGCAGATGGAGGTCCTAAACGTCTCATATGTCAGTGAGGCCCCGATGAAGGCGTACTTGGAGTGTTAAAATACCTCGTCATCCTCTAACTGCAAGAAGGTCGCTGTTCCGTCATCGTCCTCGGAGCAGACATAGTCCTCGTCGCCATCGTCGTCGTCTTCTTCCTTGTCCCCGTCAGTGTCTTCGTACTCATCGTCATGGTCGTACTCATCGCCATCGTCGAATTTCTCGTTACTGCTCGAACTCCTTGAATCGAGAGAAGGCGACTGTGGGGTACTTCGCTTTTTACGAGGGTGTACAGTTGAACGTTTCTTCGTAGTAGTAGATGTCCGGGATGGTTTGGACCGCTTACTGTTGGCAGCCTTCTTGGTGGCTTGTGACTTCCGCTTGCTACTAGGCGCAGTGAGTTTCGGGGCTGCGGACTTCTTTGCTGGCGACGGCTCACAGACCGAAGGCTCAGGAGACGAGGACGATGCTCTAAAGTCCGGAAGAGGATCATGAAAGACAGGTGGCGTCAAGGAAAGCGTTGGTAGGGGTGCTGGCGACGGCGACGGAGAGCGCCTCAGAAAGGGATTTTTGGGAAGCTTCTCTTTCGCTGGTTGGACACAACTTGCGTCATCCAAAGCCAAGGAATATATCCGGATGAATGTGACAGTCGAATCGATGACGCCAGACCAAGAACAAGTGTGAAGATCTTCCACTTCCATGACTTCAGATTCGTCGGAAGAGTGCAGGCTTAGACGATAAGTCGATGCTCCGCGAGCATTAGACCATTGTATCTCGAGCGCGCTTTCGGATTTCCATTCTATGCTGACAGTGTCTGGGCTGAGGGGTGGCGCAGTGAAGTAGTGACACGGGCTCCAGATTGCAAGGTCACAGTTTCGTCTAACTTGCGCGAGGTACCGTTCACCGGGCTGAAGACCGCGAAGGACAATCGACGTGCCTTCAGCAGTTGTGAACTCGGCTGTAGCGAGCGTAGACAAAACAAACTTATTAGCGCAGATTCTCAGAAACCCACAGACGAACTGAACTTACGCAGTGGAAGTGGTGCATCCTCCACTTTGTCTGTTACTCTCTGAGTGATTGGGTCCTGATATGTAGACTCCTCTTGAACACGATTGATGTCTATGGCAGGCGTTGGAGGGACATCCGGTGGCATGTTCGGCGGTCCATAGGGCACTGTGATTTGACCCTCAATGCCTCCAGAAGTACCATTGGTTGGTAATTCCTCGGGACAGACGACCTCTTCCTGGAGCTTGTCTTGATCCAGATGCATCGGTATCGCAATCTCATCCAAAGTGGCAACAACATTTTCGGAGGTTTTGTGTGCGTCACTGCCAGTAACTGGAGATCTGGCTTGCTTATCGTCGGGAATGGATACCTTCGGCGGAGGACTGTTCTCGAATGCTATAGACACCTCTTCATTCAGGCCAGTGGCTGTATCATCCTTCTGGGAGTGGGCGTCATGATTCTCGTGGTCTGGGATTGGCGAAGGTGGAGGCAGAGGTGCTCGAAAGATGAAGGCATGTTTAGGTGCGTCTTCGTCCGGACAAGAGGTGGAAATCAGCCTTAATACGAAGTGGTCAGAGACGTCTAGAGCGGCTTCCCACTGGAAGGAAGATACAAGATTGTCTCCTTCGACTTCGAAAGCACACGAAAGACGGCGAGGAGTCTGTGATGCGATATTGCGATGATCACACTTGATTGAGTACTTTTGGCCGGATTGGATCTGCAACTCCTCCACGACAAGACCCGCAATGTAAAGCGATGGACAATCGCAAAGCGTTTCTCGGTCTTCGTGACGGGTCATGTATCTTGGACAAGTCGTGAAGCCCGGTTTCGTATGGATGAAGCTGTGGTGACATCAGTCTATGCGGAAGCCAAGTCTAGCAATGATATAAGTGGTACTCACTCCGTCTTTAAAAGCTGGTCCGAAAGTAAGATGCGGTCCTCTGTCACAGAGCTCTCCACGCCTTGAAGGTCGAAGTGGCACGACTTGAAAGTCCACTTTCCGAGGTACTGCGACATAGCCGGGTCCAAGCGTAGAAAAGCGCGGAATGTGTGAATCGTCTGAGATTCTGTTGATCGTAACTGTTGCCGCTCGCGATCAGGAAGCTTGATGAACTTCGCCTCGCGTGCTTCCGACGGTGTCGCGACCACGCTGTGCTTACGAAGGGAATCCCAGAGTCCCTGGGTGAGACGGACCGGTGTCATCTTTAACGAGCCTTCAATGATACGAGTAGGCTCTGTGGTGTCGGTGGCGTAAAAGAAAAAAGCACCCAAGCCATACTCATCCTGCAAGCCCTTGAAGAGAGATACGGCCACCTCCTTGCTAATACAGCTCGACAGCTCGTTGACTTCCATACAATGCTCGTGATGAAAGAGCAAGTTGATGTACTTTTTGCGCGCATCGTCCGAAGCAAGTAACAGGGGCGCCCAGATTTGATAGATGACCCGAGACGCTTGACGTCGATCACGGAGACCATCGCGGTCGCGATTCAGAGTGACACCGTGCATGAAATTGACGCCGTAATGTAGTCCTAGTTTGGGATCCTTGTCTGGGCGCACCATAACACTCTTGACCTAAATGTACACATGAATTAATACTTATCATGCACATATCATGTGTATAAAGGCAGTCAAGAACGCACAAAAATTTGGTTGCGATGTTTTTCGTCTAGAAGGACCCAACCTGTACCGCTCTCGGCACGCTCTTGCAATGTCATGGGGAGGGTCAAAAGTGGTGGGCGAAGAAATAGAAACCGGTCGAATTGGGTGTCGGACCAATCGAAATGTGATATTTGTGTGAGAACGCCTTCAACTCGGCGGGGTGACTTGCGAGAAATGTAGCAGAACTCGTCAAGTTGATTGAATCCAAAGACCCAAGTATCCTTTTCGATGTGATAGTACAGTTGACGTGCCATGGACATGCACCCGGGGCACCAATGCCCTGGCCTCAAGATAGCGACGCCACCTGCGGACATTCGTAAGACTTCGACTCCTAGAGTACCATGGGGTTAAAGGTGACATACCGACCTTGGCCCCTTCGCCTTTACCACCAATGTATTTTTCTTTACTGGCGTTCTTGGTAGTAAACCCAAATGTCCATGCCGATACGTTCATTTTCCCGATATTGAACAGCTCGATGTTTCCGAAGCCCGGATGATTGGGGTAAGGCATCCACGCAACGTAGCCTAAGGGCGGAGGTTTCGCCTGTTTTCTTGTCGATGGCTTATCTGTGCTTGCCGAAGGTTGGTCATCTGCTCTGTAGAAGTAGAATACGATGGTGTCGTTCGCGGATGCTTCTGGGGGTGGGGATGTAGGGTCGGCAGTATTGACGAACTGCCCGTTGTGAAACTCCTCTACCAGCAACTGATGTTGCTGTAATCCTGTAGCTTCCAGGATGCCGTCAAAGACGTTTTGAACGAGCTCGCGAAGTCCCTGTGCGGGGCCCCAACCGTCCGCTTTGCCGTAACTGCGTTTCACATTGAGGCGACAAAGGTGCTTGCTCTTGGCGTCCTTCTCCGTGAATGGTGAGGGGAATGTAGGTGGTTTTCCTCTGGCGTTCCACGGGCGCAATTTCTTGCGTTTCGGTTCTTTGGGCGTTGGTGGCTGCTTAGGCTTTGTCGAGGTTTTTGGTTTCGGTGGCGCTTTGAGTTTATCTTTAGATTTCGCTGAAGACTCAAATGTCGGTATTCGAAGACAGAAAGATAATGACTCCCATATATATAAGGCAATCGACGTACCAGAGTCTCCGAGGCAGTCGTCGTCGTCTTTCTCGGATCCCTCATCGGAATAATCAGAGTCTTCGTAGTCTGAGTCCCAGTCCGCGTCTTCCAGATCAGGTATCTCCTCAATTGTAACATCAGGATGGCCTGAGCTCATGCCTTTTCGTAGCACGGAAGATCAATACGACACCCAGTCGTGTGTGTCGAAGTTGAAAACGGTGACTTGGCGGTCAACTTCTCAGTCGGCGCTCAGCGATTTCAACCCGGCTACGGTCCGCCGAATCCGGAAAGGAATCGGGTGGCGTTAGTGATTCTGGGCCACAATTTCATGGGCAAGCCGCAAAATCGGTCGAGCGCCCGTAAATTTACAAAATATGGTCATACAGACGGAATTCTAGAGTTTCTGTCCTTTTAGTATATTCTGACACGTTCCTCCACAGCGTACACAACTAACATATCACAAGAGGCCACTATTCGTGAGGAGCTAGTCGTCCTCTTGCCTCTTCAGCCCACTGAGATCCCTGGTTGTTCTGTGAAAGTCGAAGTTATCAGGACCAGATATTTGACGCACTGCGACATAACAAAGAGGAAATTACCCAGTAGTTGAACCAAAGACGTCTACGGCGTCAATGCGGGTCTCGTCCTCGCCACCCTGGTTCGATGCGACGAAAATCTAAAACGCCCACCGAGCAAATAATGCATAAGCCATCTACTCGTACAAGAATGTTGGTTTCAAATACATGAGAGAAGACACTCACATGTATACTGTTCACATTCTGGAACCTCACAAACCTCAGGGGCACAGCCTGACCCTCCCCTGCGACCTGCTCCGGCGTCAACTCTAGAATCTGTGCAACTTCAGGCTCCTGAGCATCTTCAACATCGTCAAAGCTAATCGCGGTCTTGTTGACGAGAATTTTGACGAGTTTGGGAGCTTGAGAGGCGGAGGATGATTTGATAAGGATGGAGCGAATGCGGACAGTTTGATTGAACTTTGGGCAGCAGAGTGAGATGGAATGACCGTGACATTGATGAACAATGAATTCCAGGGTGTGTGTTTGTGGAGATTGACCATAGATGAGTTTATTATAGATCAAGTTGGGTTACAGGATATACAGAAAGCACGCACCTCAATAGACAGAAGCAACTGCTCATCGGCATCACTCAAAAGGTATGCTCCTGTGGTATTCTTCCTACGGTTCCCGAGAATATCTTTAAGAGTATGTCCATCGGCCTCATTCAGACAGTTAAGTTGCTTCAGATCGAGGTGCTCCAATAGCGAGGTCTGTCGCCACAAACAGATTCTCGTCAATCCTCCTGGTAAGTATATGAGTGAAAGAAACAAGCGTGCCTCCCCAACCGTTCCCGACCCTGACGATGAGGCTCCAGCTCCGCCAGAGTCAGACGACTGACTGTGAGTTCTGATGCGACTCTCCAAGCCGCTCGGATCTGCTCCTCTCAACTAAATCGCCACACAACCATCCAATCGTATGAGATCGAGCTCTTCACGAATGAAATTTCGAGAGTGCATAATGTACGCACTGTATCGACGACGGCTTTATTCTTGATGAAGAGGAATGTAGGCATGGCGGTGACGGAGTATTGCTGAGCGACCGGCTGCACTTGATCTACGTCCACTCTCGCGAACGCGACGTCTGAGTATCTTTGGCTCAATTGAGTGAAGCGGGGTGCAATAGCATGACATGGGCCTATACATTGAGAGAACGCAAGAAGGATGCGAATAACGATAATCTGAGAGATCTAGACGTCCAGAGCAAGGAGAAGCGTGAGGAACGGAGCGTACCACACCACTGTGCATGAAAGTCGATGACTGTGAGGCCAGTTTTCTTCGCCTCCAACAGCGCGTCCAGCTCAGCTTTCGAGTGAATCTCTTTGATAGGTGCCATAGCTGGTATAATCGAGGTGTTCAGGGTGTGAGTAGATGAAGGATGAGGGAGAGACACAAAGTGATGGGCGCCACAGCGGTTGAGAATGACGAATCCTCACAACGCCACAACAATTTTTGGACTCCGCTGACGCGTATAAGGAGTGCTTATGCACAATATCTTCAAACCAATAAAGTACTACAGGGTTTCTGAAAGAAAGATAGGCAAAGTTATAAATATTCAATTCTTGCGCCCAAAGTAAAGTTCTCGCTCAAATATCCAATTATACATATTCGCCGATACGGTACGTGTACTCCTCTGGACGTAATGCCGACCAACTGCCAACCGTATGTCCCTTGGATGAAAACCTACGACTATCCGAGTCATGGTCATCATCCACGATAGCTTCTGAACATTCCAGTCGTAGTGACAACCAGTATGGCAGCGAAAACGTAGAACACTCTCCCTTCCTTCCCCGGGTCGCCACCCGAGAGTGAGTTCCGGAGAGGAAGGAAGACGAGGCCGACGAAGAAATTGGCGATCCCTAAGTTCACGAGTCATGACGAAGTCAAGGGATATCATCAGTGAAGTTGAAAGATAAATATATGGAAATAACCAACAATTGAGGGAGAGAGCGACCGAGGACAGAGCGCCGACGGCCTAGTCAAAAAAGAAACCAGGGCAATAATTGTTAGTGTGCAACATGATCAGGCCAGACGGAGAACACCCCGAGCTTTTGAACTTACATGCGAAGGTGACACCTCAGGGATGATCACGAACGGAACCGGACCAAGACCGATAGCGAATGACCTGTTGAATGTCATGAAACACTGTCAGTATCGTCTGTAGAGTAGAAATGTAAGGCAATGGGAGCGAACGTACATTACAAATGTCATGATTGCTGCACTAGCCAAGGATACGACATTTGCGTCGAGTCCGACTCCTACCAAAACCAGCGATACAAGGGCACCGCCTACGGATAGCAGTAGGAGGGTTCTGCGGCCAAGTCGCTGCGACGTGAAATGAAGTCAGCCGGCATTGAAATTGATGACATAAAGGTAAAGCGACGGACCTCGATAAGGAAGATGGGAGGGAAGGTCATGATAGCATTGACGATTGTAATGCCAAGTGAGACGAAGGGACCAAGATCTGGAAGGGCTTTGGAGAGAATATCGTTGCTGTAGTAGAGTACTATCTCCGTGCTAGTAAGACTTCTGCTACCGATGATTCGGATGAAAGGGGTAGCTTACCAGCATTGATACCTATATCCGGATCAAGTGTCGTTTTATGCGGTCAATCTCTACGAAAGTAACCACACCATACGTAGATAAAAGATGGGCTTACCAGACAGCTGCTGAGAAGTCATGGCAAAGCAGACAATGGCAAGTGGACGGCGAAGTTCTGAGGACTTTACGAGGTCAAGGAAGGACACCGTGGGTGCTTGCTTGTGTGCTATACGGAGCCTCCTATCTGCCTCGCTCTCGTTTTCGTCATCTGCTTCGCGTTCCAGCAGGGGATCATGGGCTTCGGCATCACCACCCGGTGCTAAAATCCTCCCATTAGCTGTGTTGGCTCGTGAGGAAGGAAAATACATTAGGAAGGAGACGACATGAGACTTACATTCTCCACTCGGTCCAAAGGTTGCTTCCGAGGTGCTCCAGAGTCTCTTTTCAATTTTCTTGACGTCCTCAACGCCACCCTTGCTTCGTAGCCATACTGGACTTTCTGTGACGAAAGGGCTAATGACGAGTTGAGCGAGGGAGATAAAACATGAGAAAAGGAGAACAATGCGCCACGTCGTGGGCTTGGCGAGGCGGAGACCCATGGCTTGAGTTATCATTATACCGATGACGATGGCGAGCTGGGTTAGGACGCCTTAGCGAGAAGGTATGTAAGGGGAGGGAGTCGCTACAATATTGGAGAAAAGGCTCACCGACACTGCCTTTGATTCTCGTGGGGGCGATCTCTGAGAGGAAAATGGGACCAACACAAAGTCCGATGCCAGCTCCTACACCCGTCAACATCCTATTCATGCGGCGTTTAGTTACTGTGACCCATTCGACATCTGCTCTAAGCGAAGGAACGGACCTTCCGAAACACAGAACCGGGACGTTTGAAGCTGCCGTCATCAACGCTGCCCCAGCCGCAACGAACATCGAGCTCGCCTGTACTGCCCCTTTCCTTCCATACCGATCCATAACCGAGTTAGCACTGAGGGATCCGAGTAACCCACCGACGGTGAATACGGAGGTAAGAAGGGAGAATGTTGCGTCGGACATGAGAATGCATGTTGGGAGATTATAGGAGTATGGAGTGAGGGGGTCGTGGTCTTTGCAAGTCAAAACTGCTTGGATTTGGTTGAGGGTAGATATATGGTAGCCGTACTGCGCAGAGAGGATGATTAGGGGCTCAGGCTTGCGCGATGGTGCTGCAGCAGCATAACGTTACCTAGGACCATGTTACGATTGAAATGTATCAGAATGATACTGCAATACGGTCTAGTATGATAAAAGTACCTGAAAAGATACTACGAGGACCCATGTACAGACGAGCCAGCCAAAAGTCGTGAAAGAATGCTGCGGAAGCATTTCGTGCGCCATTTCGAGTGTAAGAGTTCTGTAGCCTCCAATCCTCCGAATGGATTATATTGTTCTACGTTCTTATATGCCTTGGGAGTAAAGGAAAAGACGCAAGAAGAGTGAAGGCAAAGGAGATGGTGGAGAAGAGAGAGGAGTGTGGCGCAGCAGGTGCCAGCAACGTGATGTTGATGAACTGCGCCACACCGATCGAGACCTTCGGTTCCGCTACATACGCCACGGACGGCACACCCCAACCAACTGCCGCAACATTTGGTTGACGGTTTCTCGAAATAAAATCGGTGTTTTCAATCAATATTACAGCTCAATCGACGTAATTAGCTATAAAATGGAAGGGCAGTGTATTCTGAGCTACTACTTATCACCCCATACCAAAGTCTTCCGCTTTATCGAACTCCTCCCAATCAGGTCCGTCATCGGGATCCTGCAGTACGTCAATCTGCATCACAGAGGACCGTAACCAGCTCAAATCGATCGGTGGGATAGTACTGCATCCAGTAAACCGTAGTCTGGTCACCGGCGATCCCAATTCCTTCCTTCGTACCAGCAACTTCTTCAGCACCTCGAGGCGGGTGCGGCATTCGCCACCACCAAAGTAAGGTACTTCCCTCGACAGGTCCAGGTGCAGTATTTCGAGGAAATATAGCTGTGGAAAGAGCTCGACGCCCGTCTCATTCCCATCTTCGTCGATCTTAGCACGAGACATGTGCTTCAAAGTCTCTTCGTCTTCGAGGCGGAGACATGTGACGTTTGGAAGATGCTGAAGTATGATTTGTTTAGTCCATAATTCAGGCACCCTGTCGTGGCACAACATCGCAAGAGTATTGACCTCTCGGCACGGAAGGGTATGAAGAAACGCATGGATGGTATCAACGCTATTTTCCTGCCATTTTATCTCCAAGTCGAGGCAGTTTCCGGAGAGCGATGGGGTATCTATCGAGTCGAGAATATCGTCCCCATTGCCGTGCCACGAGCTGTGAATATAAATGCCCTGTCCCGAGGTGTAAATCGCGAGTTGCCGGAGGACTACGTGACGGTAAAAATGGTTCGCCAGTGCGGAAAAGACGGGAAGACAGTTAGAGGTCGAGGGACCCAAACCAGGGATGATCCTTGATATCTTCACTTCAGCAGTCTCTGGGACGGCTAGAATTCCCAGGAGAGAGGAGAATTCCATGGCAAATCCACTGAAATTTAGAAGCTGGAGGTGGGGAAGGGATATTCGACGGCTTCTGGCAAACGCGAAGGGATCTTGCGTGGCACCGGCGTCGTTGAAAACGTCCCACAATTTGAGGGTTTCGAGTTGTGGATTCCCGTCTAGGATTTCAAGTAAGGCGCTGTGGGGTACAGGGATGGGAGAATCGATGTCCTGCGCTATTTCCAAATGAGTGAGATCTCGGAAGGACAATAGCTTTAGTGGCCAATCGCTCGTTACTCGGCGAAGGTTGATGTGTCGCAGATTGGGAGTGGCGTTACCGAGGAAGTTTGGAGGAAGGGAGAAAGAGTTTCCAAGATCAATGGAATGGAGCATCGGTGTGGGCTGGGTCAAGGAGCTCGCGATCATGGATATTGGGTTGGTGGGGAAGTCCCACAGACGAATAGACTTCAGGTGATCGGCGTGACTTTCAATCGCTTGGGTGATAGTCTCGGGAAAAGGTATCGGGCCCTCCCATTGAAATGCAGGGATGAACGAGGAATGTAAAGACAACGGCGTGGATCTCGCTCGTCCGAGTATCACGGAGAACCATACATGCCCAAGCCGGAATGTTGGCCTGCGCCATAGCGATGATTGGCCTAGGGCCACTTGTCTCCAGTGACGGCATACATGTGTGACAGTGATCCATCCCAGGGGGGCCTCTCGTGTGTTTGCGAACTTCATTTCGAGTGGATCTTCATCGGCGAGAAAATCAAAGCATCGTGCAAGTATCTCCACAGGAAAGATGTGGATGTACGGTAAGCGATCAAGTTGCGCTTGGAACTCGCTTGCGACGCGCTGGAGAGTCGAAATTTCGATTTCGAGCCTTTGCCGTGTTACATTGAGTGACGCAGGATGTGGGTGTGCGAACACATCATTGTATTCGTTGAGTCGCGGCCGAGCAGCTTCATCCCAGTACGTATTCACGATGCTGGGCAGAACGAAATAGTACTGTCAGAATACACATACCCCATGTGATGAGACAAAATTTCAACAGACTTGATGAAGTCGTCGTTTCCCGCGAAAGTAGTCATTTATAAAAACCACAAATTCAAGAAGACGGTAATTTCGGCGATCCGACCACTCTGAAGCGTGGTAATTATTGACAGGTCAGATTAGTTAGATATATTCGTAGTGTAGTTGCTTACCTGTGATCTTAGGTCCACTCCCTATCAATGGTCCTGAGATAAGTTAAGTACTAGGCACTGGATGCCTCGGCGCCTTTAGGCTCTATTAGTAACACTGGCACCCCTCAGAGGTTCAAGTTCGAAGGCGTGTATGCCATTTATTCGACTCACCGTATGAATTATGGGTCGATTACAAATGCTTAGAAGATGATGACTCTCCAAGCCGTAGCGTTCAGCAAGGCAGGAGAGCAGCTGTGACGGCGTCGTTCGTGACTAGGAGTAAGTAGGAGACGATCACGTTCAACTTGCGATTTGCACGAAATTCAATCAGTGCCGGCACGTTCCGTAGCTCCGGTGCCACACAAACGCCACACTGCTATTGCTACCGTACTCTACATGTATTAGTATCTCTCAAGGACTGCAAACCAGTCGCCTTAAGCAAGTAATTGTCAAGAGACAGTAACAGAGTGAAGAACAGGGATGAACCGTCTTGACGATTGATGCGTCTGGTTGGGAAGCTAGGCCTACAGCTCACACAAGAGAGCTGCCTCTCCGCTTCGCTAGCATCATCCGGGAGATACCCAATATCGCTGACCCAGCCAAAATCACCGTCTTAAACATAGAAAGGAGCCCGGCAATGTCATCAGTAGTCATGACATTGTATATCAATCCTTTTTGAGTCGGCATACCACATTGAATGCCACTGCTCTGGACCAGATGTAGTGAGGCGGATCCAGCAATGCTCCGCCGATGGGAGTGCCAGTGAGGAGAGCAATCCCGAAGAAAAACGCTGCAATACCGATGCGTATTCCGACTTCATTCGGACTGGTTGCGAATGAAGTAAGAGCCGGGTTGATCATTGAAAAGACTGTATATGTAGAAGTAGACATATTGTCGATTGGTCAACGTAGGCCGAGTCGAAAGGAGAAGTGAAGACTGTTACGAACATGCGCCTGAGAAGAATCCATACATAATTGCAAAGACGATGACTCCTCCGGAAGTCGGCGTTCGCAACATCACTGTGATGAGACACGCTGCAACTACAGTCGGAAGAAGCATGACTTGCGGTAAAATGTGAGAAACTTTTCCCTGTGCTAGTCCTAGAGGAAGCGATACACATACTGTTTAGGTTTCCCCAGCGGTCACCGAGAAAATTAGGTATCGTCCTTCCAAAAATCGAGGCAGTATTGAGGATTGTGATCTGATTACAGAAAACGTTTGGGAATACGCTATACAAGTGTCGAGGGATGGCTCACGGAATAAAACGCTAAATTAGTAGACACTCCGTGGAGAACAGCGAACAATTGCAAGTAGAAGACTGTGGATTTCTCAGTCATTGAAATAAGGATAAAATGTGTCAGAATCGTAATTCTTACATGGGAAAAACATTCCCCAGAAGACAAGCCAACCCCTAGGGTACAAGAAAGCGGGGAGGTATGTCAGTTGCATTCAAATCGAATGAAAAGAATAAAATGTTCACCCAACGATACACAGTATATATGGCGTGTCGCTCAGAATAGAACGGAGAGACGGCGCTACATAATTAACTCTCTCCTTCCGACTCGGCAGGCGAGTTTTCATCAAGAGATTTGCAACGAGCAGAAGAACCAATGTGATAAACGCGACCGCTCTATATGGGATGAATAAATTTGATAAATTGGGTTATCAGAGTATCAGAATGTTGATGTTAAGAACGTTCTCACCTGACTGCCCAAGCAAAACCTACACTACTGTTAATTAGATGGTTGAGCATTATAGGCCAGATCACGCCGCCTAGAGAGGAGCCTGAGATGTTTTGAGCGTTCGATACATCGCTTCGACATAGAGCTCTCTCATGGCCCGCACCTGAGATTGCAATACCCTGGGCTAGTCCCCGTCTCCTTCGGAAATAATGTGAAATAACAGAGAGCGTTGGGATGAGCATGAATCCCGTGCCAATTCCCATACCCAGTCCTTGTGAAAGGAAAACCTGATAGTAATGATGTGGTTCCGTAATCGATACCATGAATAGGCTATTATTTAAGATCAGTAGATGCGATATAGAGAGTGTGTTCGTAACTCACGAGAAAGTGAACAGCACAGATCCAAAGGCCATGATATGATTAAAGTAGCCTTCGTCGAATAGTTTTCCAGCAGGAAGGCCTATGCAATAGAAAAGGCCGAACTGCGCCGAGCCTATCCAGCTTATATCCGACGCCGATTCTTCGTTCAGGGAGATGCGCTTTCATTCTATCAGCCAAAGACGATAGCGCTCGAGTAAAGAAATGTTACCGTATAATAGTCTTGAAAGACTCCAAAGCTCTGACTCATGCCTGTCGTGCAGAACAGAACCAGAAAGCTATAGTGTGTAATTCAGTAACCGCACGTCGCCATTCTAGATAAAGTTGATGGGAACGAACCCTCCGAGTACAGTCATCCATCCTTGGAATCCTCCATCAGGAAAATCTAGGTCTGGTGACGTACCACTGTCCTGAGACAGTGGTCCAATCTCCACCAGAGTCCCATTCTCGTCTTTCGCGGCCATAGACACGAACTCAGTCGGTGGTATTTGGGCGGGAGATATGTTGGAAAGCTAGAGAGAAGAGCCTTGGGATAGGTGGAGATGACTGACAAGTCAGAAAACTTCCGCTAGCGTCTACGATCTTCTGGAAGATGGCGATGAGCGTGCGATGGCAGGCAACTGTGAAGTCGAGGTGGGCGCAGGAATAACGTGGTGCTCTTAAGAGCATAGGTGCCCTCGTATAGCGATTCCGCTTCCGCGGTAGTCTGCTAGGAATATGATGGAATACCGTAATAGCCTACATGCCGTGTGAGTACGTCTACAGCGTGGGAGGTGCAGTATAAATTTACTGCTGTGAGTCGTGTTCGAATCTCGTCTTCTTTACTCCGACGGCCATAGACAAGCCGAGCGTTGGAACCTATTGGAGAGCAGGAAGAAGCCCGAACTGGTGCGAACTTCTTCGAGGTTGATCACGAGGGAAGTAGGCAGTAGAGAAGAAAACGAACGGTTTCGGCATAGGTAGTATCTGAACGACAACGGGGAGTGCTGCCTCCAGCCTCAGCTCATAAGCATTACATCCAGCAAACTGACATTCTCTCAGCTCGGAAATGATGATCTCGAAGGGGCAGAGTCAGATGATGGTCGTGACATCGCCAGAGTTTCATTGCGAAGGTAGTGAAATTGCGAAGCGAAAGAGCATGGAACTGAGGAGCGAAGACCTAGATACGAAAGATGAATCTTCCAGCTATGACTGTAAGATGTGGTGGAACCCAGTAGTAACAGTGGCAGTGTAACACACCTCAAAAACTTACATAACAAATCGGTCGGGGAGTGACAACCGCCCGAGCTTTGGCAGTGGCCTACGTAGATGACTTTGGCGGACTGACTGTTGAGCGTCGCATCATAAAGTAGTAATAATGCTGTTTGACGATTGAGTACGAGCTTGGTACGAGCACCCAGAGCAAGATAATAAAAAGAGGTCAAGGTTGCATTCAAGTCCGCTGCCGGCTTCGTCCGCGTCACCATGAATCGGCGCTTTCCGGAGTGTCAATACTGGCGATGTGGCCCAGCGTGAAAAGAGTGCCAGAAGATGGAGGCCTCCCTGGTAGGTTTTCTGAAACTCATGCATCACGACGGTAAAAAATCTCTGGGGCTATCGATTTCATGAAGCCGGCATTAGAAGAGCATTTAACTAGATACGGGTCAATCGGACGACCCTCGAAAAAGACCCCAGGAATAGCGAATCATGAAGAGTAACACCAACATGGCAATACCGTTATTCGAGATATGAATCAAGATAGCAAAGACGACGAGACAAATGTGTAACCCACTCTGCTGACCACATGTAGGAACCATATTCGATGTATATAGCGACCAGTAATCACTCGCAATAAAATATCCGTACAGTCGATCGCTTGCCACGATAAATATCCCAAGTTCAAGGTGATGTGGGCTGCATGGGTTCCGAATTAGTACTTCCCGAGTCAAATGGCTATACATGATGACCTTACTGCTATTTCATTCTCTCTCTGCTTTATGTTCACCATCAACCGCCTCTTTGCCGTCGTAGAAGGAGGATTCGCCAGGACCGACACAATCCGACGCTGCTTCAATGTCTCCAGCCCCACCTCTGTCGTACGAGATCACTGAATGATTGGCCATTCCCGTTGAGCCTGAAGACGCATGTGTGCTGCTGTGAGGCATTGATGCCAGTCTATATGATGGAGCCTCTATCGTTTCCTGGGGGTAAAAAACTGTACTGAGACACACGCTCGACCTCTGTGACGTTGAACCTGCCTGAGTCGTGCGAATGTGTAGGCTGATGGCGTTTTTATTGTGACGACTCAGCTTGCTCGGGCCAAATGGACCCCGTGAGTTAAACCTAGGTGAATATGAGATCATCAGTGTGAACAGCACGACAGGTGAGAGTGAAGGCTCACGAAGCCATGAGTGAATTAGAATAAACTGAAAGGGGGATATTGTGAGACAAGAACAGCGTGGCTTCGAGCGGTGGGAACGACCTACCTTTGGGGTAGAATGCAGTTATCGAGGAAAAAATCGCTGTAGGAAAGGCGATCAATCAAATAGGAGAATTACGGATAGAAAGGCTGGTTTACCAGTGCGCGGGATCACGATAGACTTTAACCGAAATGAAATCAGGTAATTATTCAGACCTGCAAGTATATAACAGAGGAACTTACCGTAACCATTATGCTCACAGCCATGATGCTATCAAGGAAGAGTTAGTCCTCGGCCACGAACATTCGCGTAACTTGTGTCTTACGCTGTGACCATGCCGCTCTCTGGTGACAGTTAGATATATTGCATCAATGACACGGCGAGCATTGGTAAGTGTGAAGAGCATGACATACCGATGGTCCAACGAACTATAGTTGTAATTGCGTCGTTCGTGCTGACATCAAGAGAGTTAGGTACATGGCCAGGAATACTTACAATGCATATACCTTCTGGCAGCGGTGCGTTTTTTGTACAGACAATAGCACAGCGAGCTGGTGTTGATGATGTCAATGGAGACGTCTAGGGCTGCCGTCACAATGGCGGCTCGATAGATATTATCTTGATATGGGTGTTTGGCAGTGGCCAGAGCATAGGCACAGTACGTTGATCCAACTACTTCGAGCAGAGAACCGGTCCAAGCTACTACACTGATCACGACCCATCCTGATAGGGTGTACAAGCGATAGGAATAGTATGCCTAAGCGATGAGAGGACGATTCGAAAGGCGGTATTATATGAGTATCAGAGATTTCGCTGGGAAAGACCTAATACCTACTTGTACGAGAGCGGTGATTACTCCGTGCACTACCAGAGAGTAGTCCAACGTCCAATAGCTTCGTGTAAGGCCGCTTGGGTTGCCGTAATTGGTTACATTCAACTGGTATTGATATGCCCAGAACATGATACTGTGGATAGTTTCTAGAGTCCTATCACTCGAAACTGTGTGAGCAAAGAGCTGTGAGGATACATAGAGCAAACAAGTTCTCACCACACTGAGACAACCTGTATAATATATGATAACTGAGTTATATCCGTCCTCAGTCCAGGAATGAAGACGCCCACTCACCAGATAACGGATAATCTGTCTGTCCTGAAAGCCGCTTCTCCAATACACGAAGACCTGAGCACAGCTAATAGCATAGAGAAAGGTTGATATAATGATAGATATATCAAGTCCGGCGAGATCAGCAATTTCGTTGGAGGACAAGGATTGGTCCATGACAGAGTATTGGCTCGGTGCTACATCCCGTCTCATTGAAACATGACGCTATATAAGAAGAAATCGCAAGCTCAATGTAACCGCAATGAGTTTTGGAGAATCTCGGGAACGTCGGTCACAGAGCTTGGTTGAATGTACGAATTCACCCATCTGTCGAGGTGCACACCGGAGGCTTCAGATAGGGGCCATAGACCGCTATTCGAGCTTGAACCGAAACAAAGTAACACAGACATTTGAACAGGTAAGGTCTTTCAGCATGTATGCTCGCAGTCAGGTAGGCTCCTGCGGTGATGCCGAATGCGGTACTTACCTGAAGTTTCGCGCATGATGGGCAAACAGGCATAGTGAATGAATCAATTGGCGCTAGATATGATATTTATGTCTCAAGCACGGCGTCTTTGTCCTTAACGCGAGTGTGTTCCCCGAGATCCTCCAGGGATGAAGCGGCAGTTCTATTTGCCTCGAACACTAGATAATGCCAGGGTCCAGATGCAGGAATACTGAAAACATCGCTGACAAACGGTCGACAACTCGCCGCTGCGCAGTCGTACCGTTAATTCAGCATCACCGACGATACCGCATGCTCTTCAATAAGAAGCGCAAGTCTAGGTGTCGCCTGGAATGAGAATTGTCATGAGGAGTCGGTATAGAGTCGCCATGCATGCCTTCTGTCGCAGAAACCACTGCGAACCATTGTCGTCGAGTCTTAAGCTCAGATAGTTACGAAGCGATTAGTGGCGGTAAGGCATGCAAAGCGGAGTTGAACTCTAAGAGACTCAGGGAAGACAAGTAACGCAGGCGGACGTGGGTAGATAGTGTGAGGAACGACCAATTTCAATTGAGAGCGGGCTTGACACCTGAACACGAACAAACACGAACAAACAACCAGCCCGGCCTCGCCCGGCCCGCGGCGCCACAATTTCCTTGTGTTTGCTCTCTTCCTAAGATCCGTCTCCATCACGAAAGATTTCAAACCCCCTGGATATTTCCGCCAAATAACATATGGCATAAAATACGAGTGTCTCACACCTTTCTGATGGATTTCAATAATACAGCGCCAGTGCCCAGATCAATATTAGACCGGTGCGGGATTGATGTGGGAACCTGCCGTTACTCGCTTGGTTTAGAAGAGGAGTGAGCAAGTGAGAAGAGGAAAGACGAGACGAGACACAAGCAGCACGCGAGGTCCCGAAAAAGCACGAGTATAAAGACCTCGCATCGGTCACACGCGTTCCAACGCTCACCCCATGGAGACCTCACCCCCGCCCACGGGCCTCAAACATGCTGAGCCCATGGCTAGCCATCCGTTCCAGCTACCTCTTTCCATTTCACAGAAAGAGATTGGCAACTTCCGCGCGGAGGGGGCGGTAGGCTCATACACGAATACCGTCCGCCGTCGCATTCCAACATACAAGCAATCATCAAGTCCACGAAAGACAATATTGACTCAGGGCACTGGCCAAAATACTTGCCATAAGTAAGCATCGTGAATTCTGGTTTTCGCCAAGATATTGATGAGCCTTGCACGATGCCACTAGGATGAATCTCTCGTCACCAAAGCTTACCCCAACGTCACCCCTTTTGAGAAGGCCATCACCACCACTCTAACAATGCGCCTCTCCCCAGTCCATGGCTTTACCACCGAGGCAACATTCAAAACATCCAACGGCGAAGCAACTTTACTCCCGAGCGGATTGCAGCTGTTCGATCCCGCGGACGACTTCGTTGCGGTCCCGGAGGAAACCTCAGCTACTGTTTGGCGAATGCCAGGCGGTAGGTCCTTCGGGATACAGAGGCAGACAGGGTTCTCTTTACGCTCGGTTGGACGTGGGAGGTACATGTCGAGACGTAGGGTGTCACGAAGTTAGCCAATATATGTAACCTTCTTTTGGGAGGACAATCCTCAAGCTTGGCTCTGTCCTGCGCACAACTGGAAACATTACTGGTGTTCGATGTCGTCGAAGTCTCGAAGACAATGTTACTCCATGCTAGTCATCACATAGAACGAAGCCATCTCGCTCTCGAACAAACGGATAAAGCATCGAGGGTACCTGTTCTGCTCGAGCTCGAGGCTCATGAATACAACCTAATAACCTTACTCTACCGGGCCGTCTGGACTACAATGGGCTTCTGAGGACAAACAGGGGAACTGAGGACCAAGCTGAGCGATCCGCCCTCGTGATTAAATTCACGAGGGTAAAAGTGGCCAATATCGGATCGCAATTGAAGGCACAGCAGATCCAGGCGATCGAAGGAGAGTTGGACATTGAATGATGCGCAACTCAAGCTCAAGCTTTCCAGGTCCAGTGTCTACGCCTTTAAATGCAATTTATGCTGTACCCGGTGTTAGAGCACGAACAGGGACAAGGTACCAAGTGCTGTATGATCGGTGCCAGGATGGGATCTTCCGGACCTAGATAAATGTTCTGAACGCAAAGGGAAGGGGGAAGAAAGAGCGAAACACCGATGCTCACGTTTCCTATCCACATCAGGTGGGCTACCACAAACGACTGAAAGAGCAGTGCTATTCACGTTTTGTCCAGAAATGCGGATGTGTCTACGTCGAGGAGATAGACCTGCAGCACACAGTATTTACTTACGTATCGTTCACAGAGGCTCAACTTCGGATGCATCACGGAAGAAGTCTCATGACATGAAAGACCGTCGTTTATATGCTGACACCGTAGATCGATGGCCAAACAAAGAGAGGGCTATATCCAACAATCATGATTAACCTTGATTCACCTGCTCAGCGTACACCGTTGCGCGCAGGACGATATAATACATCAGCGATTGAGGGTACATGGCCAAAGGTTTCGGATATATCGCGCAAGGGGATGGACGCAGAGGGCGAAGTTCGATTGTGAGGGAATGCCGAAGACTTCACAGAGACAAAGATGATAGGAAACGAGGCCAAGATGTATCGAGTGGATTGGACTATTTCTTTCCAGACCTAGGTATGTCATCAGCCATCGTACACATCGTCGACAGACTTTCTCTTCTAGTGCAGAACTCTTGAAGCAGAAGGATGTACTCACTTCTTGATCCCACCACCGGGTGCACCACCTACAAGGACAAAACAAACGATGAAGCCACAAATCACATTTGGCAGCAGAGGAAAACATACCCTTCAACGCTAAAACACAGTAATCCGATGGCATCAGAGCTCATTCGCACCGTTAGATGACCGTAAGAGCACGCACCTTTCTCCCTAGCAGCCTTTAACGCAGCCTCCTCCTGCTTTTTCTTGTCCTTGGCCGCAGCCTCGTCCTCGTCTACTTCTTTCTTCTCCTTCTTTGGCGCCTACTCCCCACAACCCAGGTCTTCAGCATCGATCGAAGTATCGTACAGAAAGAAAAGGGAGGAAACGGACCTTGAGAGGCTTCAGCTTTCCGCCTTGACGTCCAGACATCGTTCAGTGCTCGTGGTGAAGTGTAAAGGATGCGATCGGTGTGGCCAGATGTGGCCTCCTTGTTTGTCTAAGGAAAGATCTTATCTTATCGCTGTCGTTATAGATCGCCATGTATTCCCACAGGTCCGATGATCCTGCTCACGAACTCGGTCTCCGACCACAAACACCCAAACGGTCTGACTAACGGAAAGAAAAATCTAGTCTAGCAGTCCAGACTGAGGTGTCTTTATCAGATCGCTGTATGCTGATAAACCAACAATTCGGAAGTATTTACCAGCGCAGAGATGCGAACGACGAAAGTCCGAGTCTTTCACCTGCTTTCGACCATTCTGTCTGCCTCTGGACAGTTCCGAGTCGTCCTCGCATCTTCTCAGTTCACCATGGCTCCTGAACCAGCGCAGACAATATTGCATAATGCACCGGGTCATCACGGTGACATAGAGTCGCTCCGTATTGAACCTTGGAAAGTTGAGCTTTCCAGCGATTGGGATGTGAGTCTCTCCACGATTGAACATCATGGGCGAAACGTTTCTGGCACGGCAGCTCTGGACTTCCAGTACCGCACGCATGTTACCCACTATTTGATCACTCGTTTCAAGTGGAGAGAATTCTACTGACACGTTTTGCCTATGTCATGACAGGTCCTGGGTCCATTTCCCATCCACGCTCGAGAGCAACATTTCTTGTCGCCCGCATTTCCTCTGGTCAACCGTGAGCCTTCATTAACATGCTCCTACTAAGAATATACCATGCTTTTACCCCATACAAGTATCAAACGAATGGGTCACGCTTTCACTTTTTCTACTCTTCCTTTATTTCTATATTTCGTCGCAAACATAACACGCTAACCGCCATGACCTATCTACTTACTCCTCTGTCAGTCTCCAACCCAATCGACTTCACGAAATCTTGGCCCTCTTCGTATGCTGACGATGGCTCCGTCACATGGAGCAAAGCCCATTCATCCTCTTCCGGGAACCTTAAGGTTTCATTTCCAGATATTCGGTAAGCACTTGGTTTCTATTTCCTGCGCACACTGTGCATGAGTACTAAACACTACTGCTTGTCCGATGGCGTATCCCCCTTCACTCGATAAAAAAACCGTGATTTTATATGTGGTATTTCGTCCAATCCCGAAGCTGGTCCAATCTCCGTGCAACCGAAGGTTGGGCCGCCATTCAACACCATGCTGTCCTCAAGACCACAATCACGCTTCATCCTCCCTCTCTTGGCTCCTCCCTCTCCTCCCCTTCTACCTTTTCCGTTCAAGCTCCAGTCCCAAATCTTCTGTTTACCCTCACTCAAGGCTCATTTTTCGCCGTCGTGCCTCAACCTTCTGCTTCCACGTCGACACCTGAGAACCAGACCTCCTCGGACCCAGAATGGCACGCCGGTAATATCTACGATATGCAGCGCGGGACGCCACAGAGTGTCACCCTTCCCGTCCCGCCTTCGCTGGACCGACCTGCAGTGTACGACGTGTTTGTCAGTGGGGATTACGAGGTATGTCTTATCGACCTGTAATTTGTTCTTTACAACTCTGTATGATAGAGGGTCACTCAATTAATCGCGCCTTCATCACTATGCCGTAGATCCGCCTTTTTGGAGACCCTCTTGCTCAACGCTCTCCTCACCCTATCCTCGATATAACCCTCACCGTCTCTCCATCCTCCTCAATCTCCGCCGATCCAAGCGCAAGCTCACAGCCGGTCGAAAGGGTCGAAACACACGACGTGATGCCTGATTTCGTGGACGGGTGGGCGTTCGGAAATGCGGTGGGTGTGGGTCTGAGGAGTGTAGAGGGCTGGTGGAACGTGGTGACCGTTGAGGTATTGGGCAGCAGCAAGGGCGGTGAAAGTGACGTTGTTCAGACTGACCTGAAAGATGTGAGACTAATTCGTCCTCGATTGAGTATACACACACTCAGTAATCCTGGTATTGACCTCGCCTTCCCTCTTTGGATCTAATACAGGTCTTTGATTTGAATACCCTGTACAACGTCTCTACTCACTCCTCTCAAACTTCGCCTCAGACAAGCGCCCATCCAACCCGTCTCGCCCCATCCCAAACACGGATCCTTCCCCTCACGCTCACACAACTGCGCTCCCTTCCCACCTTCGTACAATCCATCTCCCTCAAAATTGTCCTCAAGTCCGCGACATCTACGGACAAAACATCAATGGTGATAGAGTTGCCCGTCACTCACATCACGGATAAAGATGTTGCGGAGTGGGAGGTATCGCAAATCAAGGCTTCCTACTTCTACGCCGATAGCATGCCCTCGAACTTTGGAGTATTGCCACCTACGGAGAAGACGCCTCAAGGACAAGTTGGACCCAGGCCTTACGTCTTGGCTCTACGTATGTTGAGTTTTTCAACGGCTGTTTTCCATTCTATGCCCCTAATTGACAATACAAACGTGCTCTCTCTATCGTTAAGATGGAGCGGGCGTGGACGTCATCGACATGCCGTTTTGGGCAGAAGGAGTCCCAAGGCAAAGGTTCAGCTGGGTAGTCCTACCCACGGGTCGAACGGCTTGGGTAAGGGCTATAGGCTTTGTTTTGTCTGTTCTGTTTCGCTGATGGCTGCTCCTTGTTTTACTGTATCGATGACGATTGTGATGTAGGGACTCGATTGGCGTGGACCTAGCGCAACCGATGCCTGGTCCTCACTAGACGCACTCCACCAAATTCTCTCCTTCGGGAGCTTGACCCAGATTGCCACCTCTTCTGCACGATCACCGGTATGGAACGACTGGACAGCTCCTTACCGCAATACCCAAAACAACGAAGAGTCAAAGGTAGTCGGGTATACGGGGGATGGGGCGCCCGGTATAGTGGTGATAGGTCACTCAAACGGAGGACAGGGAACATGGTATCTGATATCGAGATGGCCTGATAGAGTTCTTGGTGGTAATACTAATATATTTTTGCTGCCTGTCTCTCTTACTAAATTTGTTGCATTGATGACAGCTGTACCTGCCGCAGGATATATCAAAGCGCAAAACTACGTTTCCCTCGGGAACTCAAGGTACGTTCCTCGGCTACGCAAAGACATGGAGGACTCTAACTCGATACTCATTCTATTTCCCAGATCCGCACATTTCATTGATCCATCCCTCCGCGCTATACTCGAGACATCCTTCACCGCAGACGACAATGATCTCTTCCTCTCCAATCTCGTTGATACGCCCATCTTGGTTGTTCATGGGTGGGTCAGGTCCTTCCTTTGAACTTGCTTCGGAGATTTCTCTGCTGATATGCCGCATCGTCTCAGAGGAGCGGACGACAATGTCCCTACTTGGCACTCTCGCGAATTGGTCAGCATTCTCAAGACATGGAATCCTCTTGCGAATGTCTCGTGAGTATATCTCACTCTAACGTAACACGTCACAAACATCTATTTGAACGGACCGGCCCCGTAATGGCGTGTTCTAGGTATCGCGAAGTCGCAGGGAAACCGCATTGGTTCCCGACAGTATTTCGTAACGCTCAGGTCGAAGGATTTCTCGATTCCCTACTCCTTCCTGACTCGAGCTTGAACTCTCCCGAGGCGTCTGTGTTATCGGGTGATTCGTTCACTCTTACAGTCGCCACACCACACGAGAGTGGGTCCATGCATGGGTGGCGCGTGCTTACCCTAGAGACTCCTGGGAGGTAATAATCATACAATCCGGGTATACGAGCATAGACGGTTCACTATCATGCTCACTTGGATGTATGACAGATTGGGACGATTGACTGTTCATCGAGAGGGTGTTCAGCTGCACGTCAAGACAGCCAACATCCGCACTTTTACGTTGGACATTTCACGCTTTTGCCCACAGACAGACTTTAAACAAGACATCTACATCAACCGCATCCGGTACGAGCTGCCATTGGTACAATCCGACCTTGCGCTCGATACCCTTCTCGTCGAAAATGTCGACAACCCGCGTAGATGGAAGGTATGCGTTTCCTTTTCACCTCACGGACAAGTCAGCATGGTCGCTGAACTACATGCACTCCGTTGACAGATTACTCAGATCAGTTCGAGATCCATACCGTTGCTACTGCAACCCCCCTCCCGCCTCGCCTCGATTCTCAACTCCCCTGGTCCTCTCACCTTGGTCATACCCACTGTCGTCATCCCATCTCGAGCTCTCTCAGTCGCCACACGACTCGCGCGCGACCTCGATTTGTACCACAAGCTCGATGCAGAGATTATCTCCGACTCGGAAGCTGAACAGAGACTTGTCGACGGGACGCTCGGGAAGGGAAACATTGTCTTCATAGGCTTGACGGGAGAAGGAGAGTTCGCGAGGCGCGTTCTACGCGAGGGAAATACCCCGTTCGCTATGGAGGACAACGACGAGCCTGTGTTGACGCTGAACGGGGAAGTCGTGGAAGGACCCTCCCAAGGTAGTGGCCCACCATTTACACTCTTTACAAATTCATGCTCACGGTAAATTCATTGGCAGCTATCCTCTTCCTCCATCCACACCCCAAAGTCTCGGAAGCCTCCATTCTCTTCCTGTTAGGCACAGATGTCTCAGGGCTCGAAAGAGCATCGCGTCTCTTCCCCATCCGTACCGGGATCTCGCTCCCATCTTGGCTCATCGTCGGCCCAGAAGCAGACAAAGTCGGCGCAGCGGGCGTGCATGGAGCGGGGTAAGGTTTCCTCATTCCTGCCCATATCCTTCGAGCTGAATATTGACTATTTACATTGACATTCCATTCATATTCCCGTATCACATTACTTGATCCTTGATGGCGATACACCATGTACTAATCACACCCTCAACAGAGTCTGGGGTGCCGGCTGGGCCTGGGAAGACGCCGCTTCGTGGCACCATTAACAGACACACGGGCGGAGTGTACGTACTTAGGTACTAGTCGGGAGAGGGAGAATTTCTGATCGTGATACACGGGGTGGTGGGTGGGGATATATGGGTGCAATCAAAGTTACTGGTCTCACACGGGGAGGGGACGGGACGGATGGAGCGGCCTTTTGAACACACGATGGGGAGGATGACGACGGACGGGCAACAACGACAACGACGACAAAGAATGGACGATTGGTGTTGTACAATACAATGTGTGATAGATACGTAACAAAAAAACGAGACGAGGTCAAAGAGGACAGCGAAGAGAGTATAAGAGAAGAAAAGACCCAAAGGAGGAGGAATGCACAAGTGTAGATAAAACAGATAGCGGCAAGCAGAACGAAGCGACGGGCAACGACAAGCAAGTCTTCCTTTTGTTTTGTTTCATGACGAGGGAGGGAAGATGGATCGAGCGACCTAAGATATGAAGACAAACGATCAGAACAGCACAATGTAAGAGGCGACAACTGTACTCACACTCTCCAACAACAAAGTAACCTCTGGAGCCGCACGAATGAAGTCCTTGGTCCAGAAGTCATACTTCGAGTTACGAAGCAACTCGATGAAGGTGACCAAGGCGCCCCACGGGTGAGGACGGTGCACGATGAACCTCTCCAACAGGACCTTGGCCGTCACTTCGCAGAACATGTCGTCCTTCACTTCGACGAACAAGTGGAGGAGTAGGGAGCTGAACCAGTGCGTATGCGCGTTCGGGTAACGAAGGTGCAGCACCATGGCGCTCAGGAGGTGGTGTTGACCTGCATTGGATGTCAGTATTATGGTAAGAGGATGAATGCGATAGACACTGACCTTCAGTGTCCAAGTTAGTCGCGAGGTACTGCAACGCCACAACGCCAGGGTCGGCCGGGTTGAACAAAGACGATCCGCTCCTCGCCTTCGCTTGAGCAACCGACGAAACTCCGATGTACATAACCAAAGAGTTGATCAACGACAAGTTGTACTCTTCCGAAAGTCCGTCAGGGCTCGGCATCTTGAGTCGGTCTTTGAGCGAGGAGAGGAAGGCGGGAGAGCCACGGCTGAGGAGGTATTGGTCGAGGTAGTTGCGCAGTTCGCCGGTCTTGAGGCCGGAGGTGAAGTCGGAGAGGATGGGAGGGATAGGGCCCATCTCGGGGATGGAGTCAAATTTGACGTTGCGGAGATGAGGGTCGGGGAGGACGAGGGTGGGCGGGAAGGCGCTGAGGATGATGTTTCGGAGTTGGATGCAGTGAGAGGGGATGACGTCGCAGAGCGTGAAGTAGTATTCGCTGAGGAATTCGGGGAAGTCGTGAAGCAGGACAAGAAGAAGACGGAGGGATCCGCGGTAGAGGTCACGAGAGGATGTTTGGAATTCGGCAGACTTGAGGAAGGGAGACATGAACTTGAACAACGACAAGAGGAGCTTGTAGAAAGCAGACCATCCCTGAAATACATCATAATTGCGTCAGCGTCTACGTATCGTACGGTTCAAATGGGACCACTAACCTCGCGGTTCTGCGAAAGCAGCAGCTTCGGCATGAAGAGACGGTGGGAAATCAGGCTCATCCACGAGAAAGCAAAGCCGGGGAAGTAAGTGGGTTGCAACGAGCTGAAGGTATCACTGCAAGCAGAAAGTAGTGTCAGCGAAGCATCCGTCTACCATCAGAGAGAACACAACACACCTGATAGCGATGAGCAACTGGAAATACACAGCCCCCAAGTCTTTCTCGATGCTATGCAAGTCGTTGATCAAGCTCGAGAAGAACCGCAAGAACGGCTTCTGCTGGAACATCGCGCCCTGCTCCTCATGCATGTTCGCAAGGACGAGGACGAAGATCGACAAGATCTTCGTCAAATAATGCACCTTTGCCTGATCGTTGTTGACTCCGGACGCATCGCCGTGGTACTTGATGATGTAGACGATAAGGCGTGCAACAGCGTCGAGGGACTGGAACGCATAAGTGAAGTCCCCGCGAGCCATGGACTTCATGTAGCTCTCTACGCTGGACTCGGCGCACACGCGGAAGAAGAACGAGGAGACGTCGTCGGCCTTGAGGATATTCTGCTTCGCGAGCTGGGTGATGAAAGGCACGAAGTTCTTCTCGGGAGACGGAGAGCGCTGAAAGATGACGATCCACTGCTGGAACCAGATGTAAAGCTTCTCGCGCAACTGTCCAGACTCGGATTTGTCGGTGATCTGGCGCGCGGGGGCACCGTCAGCGACAGTAGACGCAGGGCGACGAACTCCACGGAGATCCTCCAGGAGCCTGAGAGTCCTAATGCCACAGACCTTCAGCATACAATCATCGTATGTGTTGGAAAGAAAAGACTTACTCGTCGTTCGCCTTGCCGGATGAGATGATCTGGGACAGGATCTCGATAGTGTACGTGAACTGGCTCTGAGAAGCGATCGGAGGGTCGCTCGTGAGACACGCTCTGATCAACCCAGCAGCGAAATTCTGCAAGCTCGGACGTTGGTCATTCAGCAGCAATTTCGCGAGCTGCTGGTCCTGCTGTGCGATAGTGATCAGCCCGCTTCGCAACAGCGTTACGGTGACAGGAACGTTGAGTTTGCGCTAGACATTCCATGGTCTCGTCAGCGACCCACGAACGATAACCGGATGAGATACGGGAAAACAGGCCTACCTCATCATCCGCATAAATCAACCAAGTAATCGCCTCCTTCGCCACCTCATCGAACGCATGACACAACTGGTCCAAAAGCATCACATAGATGTCCCGGGCCAGCTGCACATTCGTCTTGTACAGCAACTGCACGATCTTCTGCGAGATGAGGAGCGGGGTGCGAACGCGGTCCGTCGATTCGGCAGCGATGAACAGGATCTGACGGACAGGAATGCGGAGGTCGGGCGTGGAAGACGGGGTGGAGAGCGCTGAAGCGGGCAATTGGGGCAGGACGGCGTCGAGCTCCTTGATGATAGCCTAGAGACAGAGTGCAATGAGTTTACCGATACCTCTATTGTGCCATCGAACAAAACTTACGTTGAACCGATCCATGGCGTCCTGGTGAGACAATCCCACCGGAGCACCACCACCACCAATGACATCCATAGCCGGCGACGGAGGATACATCCCACTCGCCATAGGGTCGTTCCGGGAGTAAGACATAGTCGACGAAGGGCGGCTAGTCCAACGCCGTTTCGGCTCAATACCTACTACCATGTATCAGCCACACAAATGACGTATCAACCAAAAGTACTAAAACGCATACCAAAGTCCTCATACACCCCGATCTGATTCGGCTGCACGCCATTCACCTTGATCCTAAGCGGGTCTGGCAGACTAGCAGAGAAAGCCGACGGGAGCGCATTCGAGTCCCAGAACGGTTGACGGGGTGCGGTCTGACAAGGGAACGGTGATCAGGACTTGAACGAGCAGGTAGAACAAGAGAGGACAAGATACATACCTGGCGATGTCGCCTCCGCGCATCATAAGCCCCCGCAAATCCTTCGTCCACCTCCGCGACCGCACGGTCCATAGCCGCCTTCTCGATTGTCCCGCTCGCCAAGTCGATATTGTCCTGCACGAGGAGCATGATGACCGCGTCCGGGACCATTTGCTACAACACACAAAGTATTTCAGATCAGTCTCTCTTCGTCAGTAAGAAGGACAAGAAAACGGACGTACGTCGCTAAACCCATGATCGTTCAAGAACTGCCTTAGATGGTTCGAAAGGTTACTCCTCAACGGCTCCTTGCACGTCACCAGCGCGAGACTCCCCGCCAGCTTCTGCGCCATACTGTGTGCTGCACCACGGAGTGTCTCCTCGTTCGGCTCCGTCGCGAAATCCTTCGCGACGAGCTCCCGAGTCGATATCCCCGCGATGGTGACCGAGCGCTCGACGACGGGAAGTATGATCTACACGACATCAACCAACCGATGAGCTCGACACCTCCTAAATGAAATGAAATGAAAAAAGGAAAGCAAACACACCTCCCTCACAGACCGATCCACCGCTAACTGCACCGCCCTCTTAAACGCCGGATTACTCGGCAACGGCGCCAACTGTCCACTAATCGTCACCCGGCCCACCAACTCACCCAACAACACCTCAATCTGCGCCCCCACCGCCCTCGCCGACGCGGTCTCGTTCGCCACACCACCTTGTCCACCACCACCCCCTCCACCAACACCAACTCCGCCGCCAACACCACCGCCGACGCCAGATCCAGCACCGCCGAGGGACAACAACTGCGCGTCCCCCGCATGCATCTGCGCGTTCGGATCGTACCCCCCTCCTCCTCCTCCCACCCCTACCCCGCCAATCGGCAACGCCTCAATATCACCCACATAATCCGGCAACCCCGGACCCGCCATCGTCTCCATCCCCCCAATCGGCCGATGCCTCAATATCGCCGTCGGCTCGATACTATCCAGCGCAACAGACAGAGACGTACACAAGACCTCGATCTCGAACTTCTGATTCAGCTTCAGTTCCGCGAAATGATAAAGCTCAGCGAGGAGCGCCATGACCGCCATCAGCCACGGGTTCGGCGGCCTAAAGACGGTCGACTTCGCGGCTGGCTCGAGCGTCTTGCAGATGAAGGGGATGGCGACGAGTAGCCGGCCGGATTCGTAGCCCTCGATGAGTAGGTCTTTGAAGGATAGGTTTCTGTGCTTGATCGGTTTGTCGCGCGCGAGGGTGAGCGTGCCGAGCCAGGAGCCGACGTTCTTGAGCACGGAACGCTCCGAGGACGATTGCATCGTCTTTTCCGAGTTGAGCATCGAGGCGGACTTGACGATCGTTTCTTGCAACACGAACTTCGAGAGGACTTTCCGGTCGAGGGCGTCGAGGAAGCGGAGGTAGAGGTTGTGGTTGTTCGGCTCGGTGCTCACGCGCTGGTCGACCAGATAATTCGCGAACCATCTTGCATACTCATCCTTGAAACTCCCCTTCATATCCTCCAACTTCGCTTCAAAGTTCGTCGGTGCGAGGTTATTCACGATGAACAAGATCTTGTCCGACACCTCTTCCGGCGGCTCCTCCACCTCCTCCTCGAATGGGTCCGGATGAATCGCGTTGAACACGACGGGCGGATCGGCAGGTCCCAGACTCAGTCCCCCCGGCGTACTCGACCCATCGCCCGCAGCGGCTAACGCGCGCTGAATCGTCGCCCCGAGGTCCGGTCTTGCCTCCAGGAGATGTGGGATATTCAACAATGCCTGGCAAAGCGGCTGCCACTCCGACAACCGCGACTCAAACCTCGACAAGGCTTGAATACCAAACTTGAACAAATTCGTCTCCGGCGGACAGTTCAGCGCGTCGATGACATATCGGATCGCGATCCCCAACGGAATGTAGTCGACGAGCTGGAACTGGATGATCGAGCCGAACAGGTAGCCCGTCATGGCGAGCTCCCGGGCGGGGTACCACGTCTGGAAGAACTTGTATTCGTCGAAGAGGAAGTGGAGCATGCAGGAGAAGATCTCGTTCTCGCGCGGGTTCGTCGACGACTTGTTCCGCTCGAGCATTGCGATCACTTCGTCGATCGTGATCTGCTCGTCGTACATCTGCTTGAAGATCCCGTCCACTTCGGCCTCGATCTCGGGGGAGTAGTTGATGACGGTGAAGCCAGGCTCGGCGTCGGTGCCAGGAGCGAGGTTCATGAGGCGGGGGTGGATTTGGAGACAGGCGTTTCGGATCTCGAGACAGTAGTCGACGTCGTTGGGGCGCATGCTGGTTGCACTATGGACAGAACGTCAGCAAAAGTAATCGAATCATATGTTAAGAAAACATACTTGTTACGGAGGAAGCGAAGGAAAATGGTGATCGTGAGAGGGTTGAGGGTCATGGTGCGCGACTCCACCTGAGGGTCTGAAACCCTTGTCGTCTTCTCGCTCTCCATCTTCGCGTCCAAAAACGCAATGACATCATGCAAAAAGTCGGCGCCGTGCTTCGAGACCTGGTCGGAAAGCCACTTGTCCAAGTTGAGGTACTCTCGTCGTGAAGCCAAGGCAGCAACGTCTAGAGCAAAGCCAAAGGGCCGCACGTCCAAGAGCGAATCGAGAATCTAGAGTCGAAATCAGCAAAAGCATTATGAGATGAGCGAGTCTCAAGGAACGCACCTTGAGGTCCTGAGCCACGTCTAGTATTCTAGTGATGTTGAGTGGACTCTCTTCGTAAAAGTCGCGGAAGGCGTTGGTGAGGTACGTCGGCTGGATCTGCCAGATGCGCATGAAGACGAGCTGGTGGTTCGGATGGCCACCCAAGAACATCCCGAGCAACTTGTTCGAGTACTCGAGACGGATCTCGTTCCACGTCGTTTGCTTCAAATCTCAAAGTCAGACACAGCCAATTGAAAACAACTAACGGTACTCACCGGTGCCTCGAGCAATCCCATATGCACAAGCTCCGCGCTGATTCGCACCGCCTTGTCCAACATCTCTCTCACCAAGTTCCTCAAATCCGTCGAGTCCGAATCCGCCGCCCTGACCAAGACCTCGAACAGATCCAACGAGTTCCACGTATGGCCCTGCACATTCGCCGCAAGAGCTTTGATCGTCGGACTCGCATTGGTCACGTCGTCCATCGTGACGATCCGTTTGCCGGGGAGCGAGACAAAGTTGAAGGTATCACCTGGGAGGGAAAGCAGCGCGTCGAGCAGGCGGAGTTGGTAGATGGAGTTCGTCCACGGCATCCAGAACCCAGTCACGGCGTGGGGTTCGGTATCGCGAGGGCTGTTGAGAAGGATGGCGATGAGGAGCTTGAGAGTCGCGGTGTCGACGCCGACGCGGTCGGGGATATCGAAGGCTTTGATGACGTTCGCCCAGTTCAGCGTCGTCGACTGCACAGCCATCAGTCTAACCTCCGCTACATTGACTAATGATGCGGCAAAAACACTCACCGAGTTGCTCAAGGCCCTGACGAACGCGTTGACGTCGCCGAGTGTGGTCCCTTCTGCGGCTTGACGGGCCAAGGTGGACATGTACTCGACGATCTGAATATCCGTTGGCGGATTGGCCTCCGTCATCCCAAACCGTTGCATGAGAGCACGTATGGTGTCGACGTCGTTTGTGATATCCGGTCCAAGCTGGTTGAATGTTTGAACTAGTGTCGTGCCAGGAGGAAGGCTGCAGAAATGTTAGATTAACGATAGACATCCAAAGGAGTAGAACAAAGACGGACCTCAAACGCGGTAGGATCTGATGCAACATCGGCGCGACCGTCTCTGATCCATACTTTGCCTGAGCAGCGGCAATGAGCGCCTGGCGCTGCGTCGCATCCAACGTGGGCGCGTCCACGGACGGACAGTCCAACAGATTCGAGAGCAGCTTCGCTACCTGGCTCGGTGAGAGATCCGCGTGATCGAAGGAAGGATGTTGACAGAGCGAGAGCACGGCGTTCTCGAAATCGATGCGGATGATGGTCGCCGCCTGCTGAGCGAGCTCCTTGCGGGACGGGTGGGACGCGATGGACGAGGCGAGGACGAGACGCTCGAGGGGACGGAGGCCGATGCGGTCAGCGAAGCGAACGAGGTCGAAGTTGCGGAAGATGTCGGTGTCGCCGCGATCGAGGGCATCTCTGAAGCGGTCGGCGAGGAAGGGGTCGCGTGCGAGCCGTTGGGTCTCTTGGACGAGCAGGCGGAACGTGAGCGACGTCGAGGTGTCGAACGCGGACGGCGCGCCCGTCGACAGCAGCCGTGCTTGCGAGTGCACGATCAGTCGTCGGATGAAGTGCAGGTACGTCTCGGTCCCATGCTGCTCAGACAGCTATTAGAGCACACGCGTACGCGCGGTGGACAGACAACATTGAGCGCATCGTCAGCGACCCGTCTCTTCATCGTGGGCAACAGCGAGCACTCACCGAACGGATCTCTGCCTGGTTTCTGTCGAAATTGTCCTCTGTGAGGGTGGAAAGGAGAAAGACGATCTGAGCCTTGACGATGGTGTGTATGTTGTTGCTCGGAGGGTTGTCCATGGTGGGAGACCGAGCAGGGTGAGCCTCGGCGTGTAGACCGCCGCTGCCGGCTCCAGAGGCCGCTTTTGGGAGGGAAGAGGGGGTGTCGGGGGATCGTGGGTGCCGTCGTCGACGGCGAGCACAACTCGAGCAAGGTGGCGAGTGAGTTGTGTCTGACGCCCTCCACCGCACGGCGCGTGCTTTCGCACCCCGGCCTTTGAGCTCCGCTTCAATTCCTTCTACACCTGTGCTTTATCCAACCCGGCCTTTTCTGGACTCCTTTCTCATGTTACGTTCTTCGTCCTTTCAGCTAGGTTGGCATATTATCTCTCGATGAAGGCTCAAACATATATCGTGTCGTGTAATAGAAACTCTAGGTCCTCTTCTACTCGGTGTATATATATTACTGCACAGAAAGTCAGTCTAAGTGACTCTCAAAGCACTTGTGGCTACTTTTGTTTTCCCATCCACATCATCACCATGATGTTGCGGGTCGACCACGGTACTCACACGAGGTGCATATCAGTCGACCTTAGCAATAGCATTGCCTCGCGTGATATATCTCGACAGCTTGACAGCGACTGACTCGAATCGTCTGGGATCCATTTCGAACCACAGCATTTGACCCAATGTCAAATCACATCGTGCACCTATATAAAAGCACAAGGATACCATCAGACTGAGTACAAAGGAACGAGCAACTTCCTCACAAACCCCCTTCCCGGCAGTACCACACACATGGACAATCTCTACACATCGGTATTCGGGAGGATGACATGGAATCGACGGAATAAACAGAAACAGAAACGAGCAAGGCCTGCCCCGACACATTCCCTAGCCGTGAAGCTCCTAGCCGACATATCCTCCTCATCCACCACATCTATCTCCTCTACCACCTCTACTCCCCCCTTCCTGAACTCCCCCCTCCCCAACCCCCAACTCACCTCCCCCCTCTTCTCCCTCCTCCCCCCCGAACTCCGCAACCGCATCTTCTCCCTCTCCCTCTCCGAACACGCCCTCTCCTCCCTCCCCGTCCCCTTCCACTCCTTCGCCTACCGCCCCGCGCACGCGCACGCGAAGGGCTATAGTGGGTTCGGGTTGGTGCGAAGCTGTAAAAGGGTTTATTTGGAGACATGGGGGTTGGTTGTGAGTGGGGTTGAGTTTAGGGATTGGGTGTGTTGGGAGGATCGGATCCCGAGGGGGGTTAGCACCGCCACTCCGAGTGGAGAAACTGTGGGTGCGGGAGAGGGAGTCGGAGAGGGAACGGTGGTGGTACATGAAGGAAGTCTGAGGGGATCGAAGAGGTTTGAGCGGATGACGGTCGAGCAGCGCGATTTCGTCCGCACGATCCATATCTTCGCGCAACAATACGAGCTCGAGAAACCGAGCTGGTCGATGCAAGTCCTCGGTCGGCACGCCTACAACCCTTCCTCCTCTTCTTCATCTTCTTCGTCAGACCTCAACGTCGACGCAGTCAGACCCCGAAAGGTGATCATCGCCGTTCGCTTCAACGACTGGTGGGGCTGGTCCGGCGACACGACATTGAGTATGGGAGAGCCCGAGTATGGAGAGGCCTGGAGGGAGGGATTCAGGGCGTTTGGTGAGAGGCTGGAGGAGGTGCAGATTGAGATGGAGACGATCGAGGAGAGGAAGGGGGAGTTGGAGGAGATCGTGCAGGAGATGAGGGGGTGGAGGATACCGGTTGGTTGTGTGGAGACGGAGGGAAGGGAAGGGAAGATGCTCGTGATGAGTGATGAGGTGAGGAGGGAAGTTTGGGAGGGATCGAGGTTTTGTGTGGATGAGGAGGAGCCGGAGGAAGGAACAGAGCTGCAGAAATATGGCGTGTATACGGTGAGGTGGAAGGCTGTAACTTAGTAGGAATCTGGTGATGGTGCTCGAGGCCGTCGGACACGGACTTTTCTCCTCCGGTCGGCTTCGTCACGGTCACGGTATATCGCCTCCCGCTCGCTCTGACTGAAAAACAGTTCCATCACGTCTTTCCTCCAGCCCTCTGCGGCAGCCTCCAACACCGTACACGTCCTCTCCACTAACCCGCCGCGGTGGGTATAATGCACATCGGCGCCACGCTCGAGCAGGGATCGAATGATATCCATCGAGCAGTATGACCATTTCACGGCCTGAAAGAGAGCGGAGGAGAGATAATCGCTCCGTGATGTCTTCTTCCCCCACTTGATCGATTCGACGTCCCGGTCGAGTATCAGACGAGCCGCATCCTCGTAGCTCTCGTTGCAAGCCAGATCAAGCGCAGTCCTGCAACCACACGACGGATCGTCTCTCGATCCCGCATCCAGTAAATACCTCACGATATCCAGACGTCTGTGATACACCGCGATGTACAACGGCGTGCACCACGTACTATCTGTCGCATTCAGATCCGCACCGCGCTCGACCAAGAGCCGAACGAGGCTCTCGTGGCCTTCCCGTACGGCCCCATGCAGCACGCCGTCAAACGCATCCCTTCGTTGATTAATGTTAATGTCGGCGCCGGCGTCGAGGAGGATCGTGACGAGAGTTAAGTCATCGGATGAGCAGGCGGCGTGTAGGACCCCGTCTGCGGTCGGGTCGGCGCCGGAGGCGAGCAGGGCGAGGACGGTGCTTATGTCGCCAAGGAAGGCGGCTTGGCCGAGGGGTGAGAGGCGGGTGAAGATGTCGGGGTTGGATACGGTGAAGCGATTTGTGGAGGTGGTCAGGGTGGGAGATTCGGTATCGTGGAGGAGGGCGGGGGATGGAGGGGAGTCGACGTCCTGATGAAATACATTAAATTAGTGCCGAAACACTGCGGCCGAAAACTCCAAGCAGGGCGGCATGTACAACGGAGACGAGCGTACCAAATCACTCTGCGTTCAGAAAGGGTCATCAGGCACGAATCAGTAAACTCCCAATACAACGACAGCATATCAAAAGTTTGAGTCACCTCATACACGCTCGTTAGAACGTCAGTTGGCTCTGAGGGGTACTATACAAAACAATTAATTATGTATTGTCAGATTTTTTCCGACAATGATGAAAATAATAAAACATCACTAACCACCCCGCTTCTGCAAGGCCCCGCCCATTTCATGCTGTACTGCACGAGGCCCGGCTGCAAAACTCTAAAGATCTTGAAATCAGGCTTCGCCCTCCATCCCTGGACGAACATCGTCTGGTCCTTGTCCTTCTCATTCCTCCCATCCTCGCCAGTAGTAACTTGAACACTGTCCAACTCTCCGCCCGATCTACAAACGACAGACCCATTCCTCTTTATCCCCACCGACGCCGAAACGTTCGCATTTACTGGTCCAAGAGGACCCCCTGATATTGATATTTCGAAACTACCCGACACGTTGGAAGCGACAGCCGCGGCCCAGCTCGAAGTCGTCCTATAGCAATGTGTGACGAGCTGTATATGCTCGAATGGGATCCCGCGCCGGAGGGTGCGATTGGCGAATGCGTACCATGATTTGTTGTGTTTGAGGACGTAGGCTTTGAGGAGATCGCCGCGGTAGTGCTCGATAGACTCTTTGGAGAGGGGATCGTGCAGTATGAGGATGGCTCCTCGAGAGGAGGAGTGGGATAGTTCGAAGGAGGCTCCTGCGGGGATAGGCGATCTGGGCAGATCAGGAAGGGTCGGTCAGCCCCGAGACCGAAGATGAGGAAAAAGAAAGAGTAATCCTAACCCGGACAAGCCTGCTCCGACACTGATCTGACGGACCGTCTCACTATGCAGCGGTCCAGGATCTATAAATCTCTCGACACTAGAGACCTCCATACCCCTCAGCGGCTCAAATCCCTCCGGGACACCAAGCCGTTCATGCGACGGATGATCAGCCGGGAGCCCAGCATTGAACAGACGGTGAAATTTCCCGTCTGCTATGTAGCCTACGTCTGCTAGCTGGACGGGGCCATAGTCTGGTGAAGGCTCGGGGAGCCAGAGAGCAAAGCCGAGGCGGTAGTGGAGGAGTTCCCGGGCGTAGATGTCGTGGATATCCATGAGAGCTGGGGAAGAGGTGACCTATCTCCGGGATCGATGGGCAGGGTATATAAAGCTGTCAGATTTCCCACCCAGAGCAAGTGGCGCCAAAGTGGCGCAGCGCCGGGAGAAGTCTCGTGAAGAAGAAGCTCTCATGCCAGGAAATGCCAGTGTGCAGGATCATAAATATTCCAAAGAGCAAGTCTATTTCACCGCAGGAAAAGCACAGCACAGATTTCGTAGAAGATGCTTAGATCATCACCGAGAGATATTTCAACCATACTGCTAGGCGTGAGATGTTGGATTGAACTACTTGATTGAAAGGACGAAGAACGTACATATCATTAACTTCAACCTTCAAGGTCATTCGCGCCAGTTCGCGCCCCCATATCTTGCCAAACGCAAACAAGTACAAATAGTCCGAGTGGCGTCGCGCCACATCACCCTTCCGTCGAATTTATTGACTAACCTATTCATGCCGAGCATTTTTGCCCGCAGTGTTGCGGAAATCATCTTTCTTTATCCTTTCCATTTTTATTGAATAAATGAGACAGATGCATCCATCTGAAATTTTCTCGATAAGTACTTATGTCGAGGCGATGAGGGCTTCATGAACTTACTCGGGATTTTCCGGACATGTTTAGGCGCATGCGGGAATCGGATCCTCTGTACTCTTTCCCCTATCATCTACGTCGACCCACTGCGACTTCCTTTGCTATCCTATCTCTGAGAAAGGCGATCATCTTTTTCGTCCTACGGATCTACCTTTTGACTAGTCTTTGTTACCACTGCTCCTTGACTGCACCAGTCACATCGGAAATTCAATACTGCAAGTTTGGTCTCGAGCACGTCTCATTCGTACGGTGCAGAAGATACTAGTAGGGAACAACAAATCAGTGTGTATCTATCCCACGCTACACGATAGCTTGATTCTAACAACTATGGTCCATCTCTTCTCAGAGACAACATCGAACAATCAGTCTGAGTACTAGTGCCTGAACGAAGGCAGCAAGATATGCAAGGTCAGCTGACTTGCAAGCTCTGACTTCCGTTTCTTGCCCTAACTTCACGCTTTCGCATACAGACAGTGATCCTTCCCCGAGAACGACCGTGTTCACTGACCTTCCAAATGAGCTATGGTTGCGCGTCTTCGATTTCGCCACCCTTGTCCCGGGAGCTCTGGACTTCGAGTACGATGATCCATTCCAACCATCTACCGCCTACGGAAACACTCCTTTGAGCTTCGGCCCGACTCGGAGACCAGCCAGAAGGTCAATATCTTCCGCTCATGAAAATGTACCTTGGAACACCAGCACGACTCAGAATCCCGCCGTGAGGACGGCCAATGTAGTTGGCTTGCATATCAAGCTCGTCTGCAAGCGTTGGCACCAGCTCTTCGGAACACGATCATACCAGCACCTACATATCCAGAAGTGTCGCCACTTGGAGGATCTCGCTCACAAGCTAGCACTTTCACCTGATGGTCCGGTCCCGGGGTCAACGCCGCGATCCCTGGGATCGTCCGTCTTACGTCTGGACCTCGCCATGAAAGACCTGCCATGGCCTGGAGAAGGGTGGGAAGATGTGCTTTCCAGCATAGAGAAACTATTCGAGCACCTCCCAAATCTCCAAATCCTCGAGATTGCCTTGCTTTGGAAAATCACGCCGGACCCGTTCAATGACGATCATCCACCAGAGTGGATGCGTCGTCCGCTCGAATTCTGGGAAAGAATCGGTTTTACCTGCGGACACTCATTGCGTCGATTCGAATGTGTTCCCGGAAGATCCAACATTTTACGACTGGACAATGTCGACGCCCGTGATTTCTTTCGAATCTTTCCGCACATACGGACGATCAGTCCTGGTATGGACATTTGGCGGACAGGGTCGTGTTGGCTCTGCGACGCGAGGTCCAGTTCATTGGCGCTCTCTTTACAATCATGCCCATTACTTACTCCGGCACGCAGTGAAGAGCCCTGCCAATGCGCTTCAAACCTCTCCTTGCGCGCTCCGTCACGGCCGCCTTGTCCATCCCTGACGACCGCTTTCATAGCATGCGGTGACATCTTACTAGCCGAGCCGAAGACCAGACGCTTTCTTGAACTGCAGGGCCCGCTAATCACGACCATCTATCTCACCGGTAGCATTGTCCTGTATACCCAGGACCCTCCCTCCTCATCCCTCCAGGTGCTCGGTCAGCACTGTCCGCTCCTTTCACGCCTCATTATAACCACTGGAGACATGTTTGCCTTAGTCTACGACCCCGACGCCTTGAATGACCATCGGCTCTGTATCATTCGCCATCTTCCGATTACCGTCAAGCATCTTGCCCTGCGGTACGACGAGGAACCACAGGGCTGGGTAGAACTCGGGAAAGTCCTGTGCTGGTTCGCCGCCCCGGAAATTCAGAGCACGTCCATCCGGTTCATCCGGCTCTTAAGGAACGAAGTCGAGGATCGTCTACCCCTCATCTGGCGCGATGGAATGCCTCACTTCCACTCACCAGAGACGTGGCCTGACGTCTCATCCGAGGAACTCGACTCTGATGAGAGTTTGTTTGAAGATTCGCCGGAGGATTTGTTTGCGAGGGTGAGAGGGGTCCCTCGCCGTAGATTTGTTGGGGCGTTGCGTCGTTTGAGAGCTTTTGGTATTCGAGTGGAGCATGCGGACGGACGTGAGGTAGAAGAGCTGGACTATTGATATCTGTGATGTTGACGCGATTTTGTGGCTGACACGATGGCGTCTGAGACCCTCGTCGACCTCCGGAGAGGTCTTTGACGAGTAATGACTACATGAGTGCGCGCACCGTACTTCGAGACTGTCCCCAGAGGGAAAAAGGAATGAAGAATGATTATATCCCACATTCTAGCGGCGTCAGATTTGTTGATCTCAAGGAGGGAAATACTCCAGAATAATTCTATCAATATCGACCACACCGAAGCCCAAGCCTAGTACATAATTGCAGACTTCATAGTTCGGACCACCCAACCTCAGGTACTCAGTCTCTCATCGATCATCCCTCCAACAAATACCGCCTCTCCTCCCAAAACTCGTCCTTGATGACATCACAATGCCGCAGCACAACCTCCGTCTTTTTCTCCTTCTCCTTTGCGGCTTTCGCTTTTGACTTCTTCTTCTCTTTCGGTGGCGAGGGATTGGAGTTGGAGTTTTGTGGCGTCTTTATAAGGGAAATGTTAGGAAGACAGGTGCTTGTGTATTTAAGGAAAGGCTGTACGGTGGGACGAACCTCAACTTCAGTACCAGAAGTAGCACCAACGTTTGCAGGAGCTTCCATCGCTTCGGTCACTTCAGGTGTATCCGTCGGCAATGACGGGACAGGGTCTTCAATGACCGGTTCAGTGACCTGACCAAAATCAACGATCTTCCGTCAGCATGTCGAACATCTCGTCTCAAGCTCAGAAAGTGACACGGCTGAACAATGCGGTCAAGAGGAAGCGAGACATACCTCCTCCCTGACGAGCACGCTTCCTTTTCTGAACCTCATATTTACTTCGTTATAGTTGATCCCGAATCTCGAGTGCATGATCTCGTGTTTTTCGCTCGATACAGTTTTCTGTGCACGACAAGAGAACAGCCGTTAGACCACGTTCATTTCCAACCGTCGAAGAAGCAAGGTATCAAGAAAGAGAGGGGGTGGGAGGTGGGAAGGGAGACTTACACTGAGTGTGGCGTGAGCCTCCTTCGTCGACATTTCTCCTTGCTGCACGAGTGCCCAGAAAGCCGTGTTATACAGATTATTGATATGTGCTATAAACCGCGACCAAGAACATCGCATCAGGCCTCTGTAATAGTCACAAAACCAGCATAAGAACGAAACCTCAAAACTCACTATCGACCTGCCTCCACGCAAAATAGTCCTTCACCTCCCTCTCCGAAGGATAAAGCACGATCCTGCCATCAAAGCTCGGCGGATACCTCAACTGCAGATCTGGGAAGTAGTCTCTCCAGTGGAAGACGTAGGAGGAGGTGAAGTAGGACGTGAGTGTGGTGACTATTTTGGCATGCCGGCGATTGTACAGCTGGGTCGATTTACGGAGGAGGAAGCTGTAGTGAAAGGTTGGTTGGAGTTTTATGGGAAATTCATAGAGAAACTAAGTATGAGGAAATGTTGACTTGCCTGTATTCGTCAGACTCTCCGAATCCAAGTACAATGTCTGGATATGCGTCCATAACGGCTCGAGCAGCATGGTCCATGAGCTTCAGAGCGCGGTCGTCATTCGGCTTCGTGAATTTATGTTCATCGGAGAACCTTCATATCCAATTTAACTGCTTAACTGAGCTCAAGACGTGTACGATCAACACAAAACAGATTGGTACCCACCGATGAAAGGAATGTCCGTCTAGTCGGAAGACCATGTACGTCCCAGGCAATAGAGGATCAGGAAGCTCAAAGTTTCTGACGTATGCAAAGCGAGAGCCAGCCATGGTTGTGGAATATGAAGATAAACAAAAGCAAGTGCCTTTTAGCCGTGGTGGTCGTCCGAGTCAAGCGTCTCAGTGTTGAGGGCCACACTTTTGGAACCAAGGTCAGCGCGCCACGCCACACAACCACCCTTGCAGTTCGCCACGACCCCCTGTAGGACCCCCTCCAACTTCAGTTCAACCATGGTCCAGATAACGGTCTCAGCAGCCAGACGTACTCCATTGGCATCTACCCTCCCCACAATACTCGACCTTCCTTCGACTGCCACCGTCGCCGACCTTAAAACCGCTCTCGCAGCGAAATACCCAAAGGTATGTTCATGGAGTATTTGACGCCTCTACAGCTCAGTATCTATCCATTCACGCGTCTTATGTCTTTCTAATGTCTTTCGTATGTCATAGCTCTACGTTAGCCGTCAAAAACTCTCCTTGAAGGATGATACCTCCAAAAAGGCGTTGAACGACGACGCGACGTTGCAGGATGCGAATGTGGCAGAGGGCACGGAGATCATAGTGAAGGACTTGGGACCGCAAATCAGTTGGCGGACAGTTTTCTTGGTTGAATATGTGCGTATTTCTCTGCTTGTTTGATTCTGTGTAGGACGGACAGGTGGGTACCTTTATGGTGTTAACGATTGATGAACGTAGGCTGGCCCACTCATCATCCATCCACTGCTGTATCACTACCCCAAGATATTCTACGGAGGCAACATCCAGCATAGCACGTTGCAAAGGTACGTTATAGGACCTGTTTGTCTCTTGCGGTCATCTCAATGCTCTATGCCTGACCGTGTACTATCTCACAGATACGTGTACGGAATGGTTATCGTCCATTTTGTGAAGAGAGAATTGGAGACGCTATTGTACGTCTCATGGCTATACTATCTCTCGTTTTGAATCTATACCGACCCCTATTCTCCCAGTGTACATCGCTTCTCGCATGCAACCATGCCTGCTTTCAATATCTTTAAAAAGTGCGTTTATTTCCCGGATCAATCCCTAAACTCTACTCTAAACTTATGACCGGCCCGCACTAGCTCCGCACACTATTGGTTCTTGAGCGGTATATTCATCTCTTGCTTCCTTCCTCTCCTTGAAAACATCATCAGACTGACAAAAATGGCTCTCGATGGTGATTTGAAGGCGTTCTCTTGGCCTGGTCAATTTACAGCCCATGGTACGGTGCCCTTTCACCCAGCGTTCGCAACTCAGCAGCCGGCAATCCTACGTTCCTCTCAATGAGCGTTCTTCTCTGGGCTGTACGTCTCCTCTTTTCTCGACATAGGACCATGACCCCTGCACGCCATCTCTGTTATCCAAATCTCCCCGTTTACCTCTCTTTCACCACAACCGGCCAATCTACCAACCTGTCTGAATGTGGAACATATCTAACTCACCTCTCCAATCCCCTCTCTTCCACACCGACCCGCTTACCACAGATCGCCGAACTCTCGAACCTTAAGACCCACCTCACCCTGCGCTCCCTCCGCCCAGCCGGCTCCCGCAAGCTTGGTATTCCAAAGGGCTACGGCTTCGGACTCGTCTCGTGTCCGAACTATTTCTTCGAATGCATGGGTTGGCTTATCATCGCCGGCATGACTGGTTCTTGGGCCGGTGCGTCTTTTCCCCTTCTCATTATACTTAGCACTGCGAAGTTCTTCGCTGCTCTCGCCGTTTTGAACTTTTGATTTGTCGCGGGTCCACAGACACGGACACTGACGCGTTCTTCGTTGACAGCATGGCTCTTCCTCGCCGTATCAGGTACCCAGATGGCCCTCTGGGCTCTTAAGAAACACAAGAACTATAAGAAAGTGTTCGGGCCTGAGTATCCGCGGGGAAGGAAGGCCATGATCCCGTTCATACTCTAGATCGGCTCACAGTCGCTCCTTGTCCTTCTTGGCTTGTGCGTTGAGCTCAAATTAGAAGGGACAGGACGGGCAGGGGAAAGGAGGGACGGAGGGACGGAGGGACGGAGTGCTTCTTGATATGAGAGACTATTTCCTTGGGGAACGAGGGCGTTGAGCGGAGGGAATAGTGGTGGCGGTAGTAGCACTACCGCCTCTCCGCGCATGATTTCATTATAATGTCCCGACTCATAATTAGATACTAACCAGAGTCCAATGAGGAACAACTTGAACATCGTCCCAGCTTCTACCTCAGCCACACAAATGCCCCTGAGAATGGCTCGAAGTTTGCCCGCCGGCTTCGCAAGTACGAGCGAAGCGGATATCAGAGGGAGTAGAGTAGTGGGTCGCATGGTTGTAAGTCATCGTTCAGAGTAACACCGTCTCCCAGGTGAAGAACTCCGCGAGGGCTTCACGTCGTCATCGAATACACAACCGGCTAAGTACTTACGCCACCTTGCCCAGCTAGGAGCCTCTCGAGGCCATTACAGTATATGGCCCCCTCATCAAGAGATGCTGTATTGAGCAAAGGGTAGCTCATATCGCGCTCTATCACACTGTCCATATATTATTTGAGGTGCATAGAAATGTTCATATCGACGCCTCAGGCTGGCCAGGGTGTCCATGTCAGTCGGGTTCCTATCAGCGCGGCCTAAAACTTGGAGTGCTGCAGAAACGCCATCCCAGGCGATGTTTTGTCGTTTTTTTGCAAGTTTTTTGTGGGATATCACGCTGAGCACCCCTTGAACAATTTTTATGTTCATACTGTTGTACGACTACATGCCCCACAGAATGTCTAGAACACTTATATAACTTCTTGATGCGACTCACTGGACCACCTGTGAAACATTTGAATACGAACCGAAACCTCGTTCTGACGGATCAGCAACAACATCCGAAGTTATCTCAGCGGGGGGAGAAAAAAGAAATTGAGCTGCGAGTCTGAATGAAAGCGTAAGTTCCAGACATTGAACACCGGTGAAACATTTGAGTACAAACCGAAACATGATTAACTTGTGCTCTGAACTGACCGTCAGCCACATCTTAAGTCAAACTTCCGAGCTCTGAAAACCAGCCTGCCAGTCTGAGACAACGATGGAAAACGTGTATATATACACGTACTCCCGAAGTCCCTTGATCCTCGCCCTCCCTCCTCCTCACACATCTGCTCTTTGCATTTGCATTCCACCTTTGATACACCTTCATAAACCTCATCATGCAGTCTCAGTCATTTGACGCTCCTTGCCCTCTCTATGCTCCTAAGCCTATCCGTGCTTACACACCAGTTCCATGGATTCTTTACGAATTCAGCCTCGACACACAGCTTCCCCAGATTGACAGCTCGAATGCGCAGCCACGGTATCAAAGCCTGCCACCTGCTGGAGCACCTGAAAGTAAGCGTCCTAGTAACGAGCAGCATTTGTTCAACACGAAGCTGCTCGCAGAACAGCGCGGAAATCAAGTCCTGGCGGCGAAGCTCGCTGCGACAGAGTTGGCAGCGAAGACTGCGGCGGAAGCTGCTACGTTCTCGCTGGGAACCATCGTGGACTCTGAGTTCAGCGTCCCACCTCTTAACAGGTGGGGGAAGTTAGTGCAGGCAGGGAAACGGGTTGCCTCTCGGGTCCGCAAGGGCTCGAAGTAGTGCAGCAGTGGACGCCTTTTGGGTGCGGGACATTTATTGGCGCAGGGGGGATTGGAGGCGTTGGAAGCGTGCGGGGGGAGAGTTGGGTCATTTTGGCTACTGGGGCCGTTCGCGCTCGCCGTTGGAGCGAGCCGATAAAAATGGGAGAAAACATACAAAAAAAATGTCGATGCGCTGTGGCTACCGGCCGGGGTCACACCATCGAGCAGTGGGTTCTGGGGCATAAAACGGGGAGAAAAAAAATACAAAAACATGGGTTCTGGGGGCGATGTGTCGTGGCTATCTGCTGGTCAGGTGCCTATACCATCACAATCGACGTGGGCTGGGTTCGGTATGCCATATCAGTTATGTATGCGCTCCGGACCAACAGCGTCAACAGCACGAGGTGTCATCCGTGTCGGAAGCGGACTTCTGGGTTTGCACTGCAGGCATCCCGGAAGGCGAACGAGAGTCCTTTGCCTAACTCGTTCGGTGGCACTCCTCACGAGAAGGATCTCCTTACTCGTGAGGGCGGGGTGGCTTTTAGTGATCAGACGTGATTCTGGTGAAAGTCCCACACTACTCTCATCGCCGGGTGAGAGTGTGCGTGCTAGGGTGTTAGCCCGCCCTAGCACACAAGACATCTTGCATCCCGCGTGCGCTAAACAAGAAGAAAAAAAATCAGTGAGAGTGGCACTCACTATCGTCCGGGGGAAAGCTATTGGTATTCGCCTTGGTCGCAGGCTAGAGGGATGAATCGCGCATGCTAACTGCGCCAAACAGCGACTGAGGACGTCGATCGTCTAGAGACATTGAGCTGAAGACGCTCAGTATGATACACTGTGGGGAAGTTGTAGAAGAAATGTTCAGGGGAAGAGGGCGCGAGTAATGCGGCGTAATCATGGTCAACCGACTCGAGGACCGTTGACTGCAGATCAAGCCATTCCGCTTGTCAGTGGCGTGGCACCCCCAGACCTAAAGCTTCGCCTCACCCCTCCCGCCGTACTCCACCAACCCGTCAATCCACTCCTTCAATCTCCCCTCAACTACCTCCTCCGCCCCTCCCCTACCCCCACCCGCAATCGGCGCCCTAACATACGCCCGAATTCCCAGCTCCCCAAGCCACCTCCCACTGACGAGATCCGGATACGCCGCACGCATCGCCTTCGCCTCTTTCTTGAAGCGTTCGACCCTATCGATCCCCACATGCTCAAGATACCACGCCGTATCGTGACGGATGGCTCCGCATTCGTATAGGTCGAGGAGGGATTGGGGGATGCCAGCTTTACGGGCTGCGGCGTACGCTAGGGCGTGACCGAATGATGCGATGGAGGATTCTGATTGTGTGACGAGGAATGTTTGGATGTCGATTTCGTTGTCTTTGCTCTCAGCCAAGTGTATACTTTCGGTGAGTATGGAGTGGGCGTGTTGTGCGAGGTCGCTTGTGGACCATCTCGGAGAAGAGACGTATGCAAAGGGTGAGGACGTTGCCCTCTGCGATGATGACGCCTTTTCCATCGCACTAGATTCATTCCACATTCATCATGGTTAGCGATCTGGCCGAACTCAAACACGCTCGAAGGACGCCTTACCATGATCCCCGCCATATAATTATCCTCAAACGTCCCCAAAGCCACACCTCTCCGCCACCTCCTCCAGACACCGCTGAAAATGCCGGACGACGGTCGCCTCAACTGTCACAGCCAGCCCATGCCTAACCCTTGGAACAATGTGGATGTCGTTCATCAAACCCCACCGTCGCCTTGAACCAAGCTTCTGCCACGAACGAGATAGCTGTGGCCTGAAGAATAGGCCACTGTTGCGTCGGAAACCCGATGATCGGTATAGACGACGATCCTTTCCTCAATACTGTCCTATACTTCGAATACGTCCCGCCGATATACGCTGCTTGCTTAATAGCCTGTATAAAAGGGCCACATACACCCAATGCCCCTATCGGCAAGCGCCAGACCTCGTTTCACCAAGCGTCAAGGGGGTGCGAAGGGGTTTCGAAACCGGATCCAAGGAGGGCCGAGTCGGGTAGACGAACGGAGTGGAAAAAGGTGATGGAGAAGTCGAGAGGGGCTGTTCCGCTTCGGGTTGGAAGACGTTTGGATGTGATTCCGGTGTGCATCTCGTGTTCGTCACATATGGGGACGATGAACCAGCGTAGTCCTCGACTTTGATCGTCGACGATCAGGCGTGCCATGACGAGTGCGACTTTGTTCATACCGAGCAGGGGTGGTTGTCGCTGGCATGAACCTGGAAAAGACTATCAGTCAACGCATACATGCATATCCCAGGAGCAAAGTCTCACTTTGCCGCCTCTTCACGGAGAGTATGCAATATAAACCCATCCTTCGTCTTGGTCGCAGTCGTCTCCAGATTAAAAACGTCCAGCCCATGTCCCCGCTCGCTGAGCAGGTATACCCCGACCGTATCCAGCCGTAGCATCGAATCCACCAGAGGTTGTAGGTCCGGCCTGGCCTTGAGATGTGCGGCGATGATGGTGAAGCAGGCGAGGTCTAAAGAAAGGATCGGGTCGAGATGGAGATTCCAGAATGCGGGGCTGCAGTTGAGAATGTCAGAGGCCGAGAGGTCTAATGTTGGATAAAGAGGATAAAGTTTAGTTAGTGCCAAAGATGATCGAACATGAGTGGGGAAGGACGAGGAACACACTGTATGTTTGCAGAATCTTGCGGGCCCTTTGGTAAGAGCGTGATACACAATCATCAGTAGACAGGGAATCATCGTGGAGGCGAAAGAGAGGATCTTTGTAGAGTACGTTTTGCATGATTGTCAGACTTGGGCCCATTCACTCATGAGGGATCCAGCGCCTTATATATGCGAAAGGTGACCATGTCTATCAACACACTGAATGTGTTGGATGATACGGACTGAGGTGAAACGAGTAGTTTCGCGTTTGATCACTTCAGAAATGTTCTCCATAGAGAGAGTTTAGATCTAGAGAGCGAGTGTGGATCCTCACAACCACGGGCGGTGATATCTCACAAGAAACAGGAGATGTGGATCGTCCGAGTCATACAAATGCCCTCGGCCATGCAGTATGTGGGTTCATCTCCAGAAGGGTCCAATGTCGGCAAGCATATGTCCTCGCCAATCCGAATGGAGCGTCGAATGGCCTCAAATCCACCTCGGCTGAAACGTCCGACAACGAAAACCCCGAGTCACAATGAGATCAGCACTTCCAGCGTCGAGTACTGACTGTGCCTGAGCTCTTGAGATACGTATACCCCCTTCAATGATTGGCCCCATCAGATACACCCCAAAACCGCGATAATCACAATCATACGCACCAGTGTCAGGAAGTCAGGAGACGACTCGCTCGAGATTTGTTTGAGACCGTTGTTGTTGATGAGCCCGCTGAAAAGCCTTGGACTTGCGGCCTCAATTTGTCCTCACGGCCCAGCCAACACATCCCAGAGCTTCGTAGACAACCAGAATCGTACTCACCAGTATCAGGAAGTCCGGCGACGACTCGTCCGAGATCGTTGTCGTTGATGGACTGTAGTAGTCTGCTGAAAAGTCTTGGACCAGAAGCTCCAGGTCCTCTTTACGGCCCAGCCAAGACAATGCAGAGAAGTCACCATGATTGACTACTGAGTACGCCATGACTATTCGACTTCAACGACGTTGAGACGAAATGGCCAAGGACAATGGACACCGTGACCCGCACCGGAGAAACGCGAGCACGTTGAAATCATGACGTCACGCGTGCTGCCTCCGCCGCGTCCCTTCCTGCAATTGCAACCACAACGCGTTTCGAGCGGAATATTGAGGTGTCGAATGTCCAATGATGTCGTCTGTACCTCCAGCTTCATCGAGCAAGAAATTGGATACGGCAGTCTTGATTCCGGAGCAGTGTGTTACTCCAAAGACGAAGTAATCGCGCGTCGGAGATTGTCACGATGGGGTTTGAAGCATGAAGTTACATGGGTGGTGGACAGGGGAGACGATGTCAAGTGTTATGAGGCGAGTGTGAGAACTTCACTAGGTGTATTGGGAGTACCGGCTTCTGCGAGCACCTTCCCCTCGCACGAGAATCGTGTGCGAGCTGAGCGTGCTGCAGGCACGATATAGTCATTGTTATACATAGGCTTTTTGTTGCCTCTATGCCATACCATCACTTTTATGTATTATTGTCTTATCAGTCCATTGTGAATGAGTGTTTAGAGATGCCGAAGTCACTGACACAACGGAGTTGTATACACAACAGGTGCTACAAAGGTGCAACTCGACTGGTAGAGTAACAAAATGAACCGACAAGTCGTGCAAAAGTACTGGTATCTAAAGACGCTGGATGAAAGTGCCCATGTCTGGACGAGCTGGCTCCAGCTCTCCAGAGAGCTCAGCACCGCTGAGCATCCGAACCTGGCTGATAATAGGATATATACTGTGTCAAACCGTCCGTAGAGGCGTACTCCGGGTGTGCATAGCACGCGTAGTTCGTATTACCGTTGGCAGTGACGGATGTGAAGAGTTCGACATCCGCTATGGGTCATAGTCTACTACTACTGCCGATGACTTCCGCTCTTTGGCTTCCCCAAAGCACTGGCATATAGTGACGATGGGCACAAGCAACATAACGACCGGGAGGATCTGTATGGACGTTCAACGAGTGACGAGTCAGTGCGGCCCGGGTTCGTAATAACCAAAATCGCGCTTCGAGTACATACCTGGCCCAGAGTCCACGTTCGGTCGTTCGAAGTGTCCAAAAGATGAGCGTTGGCTTGCAGCGTCAGCTCGTTCGAGAGCACTAACATCGGAAGCGATGTCACCCCGACGAAGATCATCGCCACCAGGCACAACGATCCTCCTACAAACATGCCATTCTTAGCCACGTGTGTTTCGAGAGGATGAAACCACTGGAATAGGCGGCAAATTTTGGCACCAGTGCCTTGCGTCTTCTTGCTCAGAGCATTTATGAAGCGGTTGAATTGACGGCATGCTGCTAAACTGGCATGATATTCGTCGAGGGCCTTGCGAAATATGCCGTTTGAACTTCTCTGAGAATCATCCAAGCCCTGGCCTCCTACGCCTTTGTCTAGGAGGGGAAAATTCACACGTTCCTGTATCTCCACATCGCGACGGCTCGGACGCCCCGGTTTCATCTCCCACCAATTCGTTTGTGTTTGCTGCCTTCTACGAGTCATGCCCAGGATGGCATGTTCCACGTCGAGACCAATAGAAAGCGTGATGATAAGGTAGAGATGGAGACAGGAGACGATGAGGGACACGATCCGCCCACTGCGCATGGACGAGAAATGGGCACCGATAACAACCACGGTCGTGTCGGGATTGCACTCCGCGTCAGAACCCAGTGATGGTAGCTTCGTCCATACAAACAACCCGAATACGATTGCCATGATCAACACGGGGAGTGCACGCCAGAATGCTTTTCGAACGGCGCCCAGACGTCTGCGTTCAAGATCGATATTGGTGACCAAAAGGGGCATCTTTTGAATCATCGAGTAGGCGGATGAGCATAGGACGACGAGGGAGGCGTAGGCGTGCAGATATAGGAGGATGGAGACGGAGATTCCTAGGTACAGGGAGAGTTCGCCTTTGAAGTAGAGGACGAAGGCGGATAGGAAGAGAGCGAAGGCGGTGATGGACATGATCCAGTATGATGCATCGACGTTCGTGTCTGTCAGCCAGGCAATGGCAACTGTACGAGCTCATGAGCATTTTGGGGGGGTGGAAACGAAGGTAAAGTGGGGTGTCTGTATGAGGGACATATACTCGCCAGTCAAAATGGCCTGCACGTAGAATGAAACTCGGACGCCGATCCCAGTAATGTCTATCATTTACAACTAATAAGCATCCATGAGTCATCGCATAGTAGATGGGTGAAGCTCACCTGCATTGTCTTTCAACAAGCACGCGACGGGATCTGAGGGCATGGATCGTCAAGATAGTCGCGCAGGGTTTCTGGAGGCGGGTTGGAAAGGCAGCAAAGGGTACACAGTGCCTGCGCTTTGTCCCAGCCCTTTATATCAGTGACGGCCGCGGCCCGCGGGAATTAGAACCATGTACTTACAGCCCGAGTACAGCCCTGTACAGTTGCTGTACAGATTAACTCACGCATCGCCAGATCACTGCCCCTCGTTATCGTGTGCAAGACCCTTCCTGACCCTTCCCAGGGTTTCATCGATTGTGGCACCGCTAGGGGAACTTAGGTCGAGGTAGGGGCTGCAATTGCAACAACAACGCGTTTCGAGCGGATTATTGAGTATCGAATGTCCAATGCTGCCGATCAACAAGCCGCTGAGTCGGCGATGCAGATGCACTGAATAACGCCAATGCACAAAACAAGTACTGTACACGTGTCACCGTTCACGCACGTAAAATACTAATGCCCTCCGGGCGCGACCTGGTCCCGGTTCTTTGTCAAGAGGTCTCTGTGTGATCTGGTACTCAAAAACAAAATTCTTCTCAAATTGTGAATTGTACGTACTTAGCTTCATGACCTCGGCCGTGACATTGACTGAGTAGAGGGGGCCACTGTCGCGCCAGGGCTCCGCAAGCTCCGCCCAGCCGCTTCGTGGCCCCCTAAGTGATTTTGTATAAGATACAATTCCGAAGATTTTTAGAGGGTATGTGATTGTGCGGAACGATTGAATGTCTTGAATGTGTATACACCAGTTGGTTGACAATTTCACGAGTATCCCCACTGTTCGCCTCAAGCTGCACAGTAACTGTAACATTGATTTCTGAAAAGAAAATTGAGCCAGGGACACTGAGTGGAGTAAGTACTACCTGGCTAATTACCTACGTATGTAGAGCGGGTTCACATTGTGGAACTCGACATTCAGAGCGCGAGAAAGTAGCGTACTACTGTACCATTTCGATCGGATCGCCACCCCCATGTTACCGTTACCGATTTTGCCGGTTTTCGCCGCCGCCACTTCCGAAAGTTACCGTTACAAGGCCCCGATACCGCCACCTTTTGTTACTTGTTCTCGCAGGTTTTGGTGCTACCTATCTAACCTATCTACGGTACAAATTTGTAGCTTGTAACAAATTTGAAGCAAGCCTACACTTTCTATAATTTATGAAGTAGTTTGCAGAATTTTTGAAATCATCCGCTGTGACCGGCAACGTGAGACAGCCGGCCGTCACTCGCGGCGACGGCAGCCATCCCTTCTTACGCTCAGCACTCTCAACGCATCCTCCCATTCCTCTCCATGGCAGACAAAACTCCTCTCATAGAAATGCCGAACGACGCAAAGGACACCTTGCTACCTCCCCGCCATGCCTCGCTCCTTTCATTCCTGAAATTTTCCTTCCCCATCATCACTCACGCGACGGGTGCCACACTCTCGATCCCGGACTTCTTCAGTCGGGAGCCTGTGAACTACGATTCTGTCGAGAACTTACGCAAGATCCCGATACCACCTGCTTCAATTGTCGGGGACATCTCTGCAGCGTGTAAGGCCATGATACGAGCAGGATTCAGGTCCATCGTGTGCGCGCATCTCACGTCCACGGTCCCTCGTTACCTCCCGTTCTGGGTATTGGTCTACTGGAGTGAGATTGTGTCGCTTCGAGCCATCAGGGAGCCGTGGAGCAAGGCTGATGGGAGCCTGCGGGAACGCGATAAGATCTGGCAGAAGAGGAAAGCACAAGGTCAGATTCAGCCGGACCATGGTTTGATCCAGGATGTGTACGACGCGCTAGACATCCTCCCATGGTCCGAAAATATACGGGGATTCAGTAATATCGAACCATTACACAAACTCACCACATATCTATCCCCGAAGGCCTGGTTCTCAGATGTTCACCAGCACCAATCTATCGATCTTCTACGCCGAGATATTCGTCTCAGTCG